TCAGGACAGGTATCTGATGTTACTGTATATAAAAGTGATCATACATGAAACCCCTGGGATCAGGACAGGTATCTGATGTTACTGTTTATAAAAGTGATCATACATGAAACACCTGGGATCAGGACAGGTATCTGATGCTACTGTATATAATATAAAAGTGATCATACATGAAACCCCTGGGATCAGGACAGGTATCTGATGTTACTGTTTATAAAAGTGATCATACATGAAACACCTGGGATCAGGACAGGTATCTGATGTTACTGTATATAATATAAAAGTGATCATACATGAAACACCTGAGATCAGGACAGGTATCTGATGTTACTGTATATAATATAAAAGTGATCATACATGAAACACCTGAGATCAGGACAGGTATCTGATGTTACTGTATATAAAAGTGATCATACATGAAACACCTGGGATCAGGACAGGTATCTGATGCTACTGTATATAAAAGTGATCATACATGAAACACCTGAGATCAGGACAGGTATCTGATGCTACTGTATATAAAAGTGATCATACATGAAACACCTGAGATCAGGACAGGTATCTGATGCTACTGTATATAAAAGTGATCATACATGAAACACCTGAGATCAGGACAGGTATCTGATGCTACTGTATATAAAAGTGATCATACATGAAACACCTGAGATCAGGACAGGTATCTGATGTTAATGTATATAAAAGTGATCATACATGAAACACCTGGGATCAGGACAGGTATCTGATGTTACTGTATATAAAAGTGATCATACATGAAACACCTGAGATCAGGACAGGTATCTGATGTTACTGTATATAAAAGTGATCATACATGAAACACCTGAGATCAGGACAGGTATCTGATGTTAATGTATATAAAAGTGATCATACATGAAACACCTGAGATCAGGACAGGTATCTGATGCTACTGTATATAAAAGTGATCATACATGAAACACCTGAGATCAGGACAGGTATCTGATGCTACTGTATATAAAAGTGATCATACATGAAACCCCTGGGATCAGGACAGGTATCTGATGCTACTGTATATAATATAAAAGTGATCATACATGAAACACCTGAGATCAGGACAGGTATCTGATGCTACTGTATATAATATAAAAGTGATCATACATGAAACACCTGAGATCAGGACAGGTATCTGATGCTACTGTATATAAAAGTGATCATACATGAAACCCCTGGGATCAGGACAGGTATCTGATGTTAATGTATATAAAAGTGATCATACATGAAACACCTGAGATCAGGACAGGTATCTGATGTTAATGTATATAAAAGTGATCATACATGAAACACCTGGGATCAGGACAGGTATCTGATGTTAATGTATATAAAAGTGATCATACATGAAACACCTGAGATCAGGACAGGTATCTGATGTTACTGTATATAAAAGTGATCATACATGAAACACCTGGGATCAGGACAGGTATCTGATGCTACTGTATATAATATAAAAGTGATCATACATGAAACCCCTGGGATCAGGACAGGTATCTGATGTTACTGTTTATAAAAGTGATCATACATGAAACACCTGGGATCAGGACAGGTATCTGATGTTACTGTATATAATATAAAAGTGATCATACATGAAACACCTGAGATCAGGACAGGTATCTGATGCTACTGTATATAAAAGTGATCATACATGAAACACCTGAGATCAGGACAGGTATCTGATGCTACTGTATATAAAAGTGATCATACATGAAACACCTGGGATCAGGACAGGTATCTGATGTTACTGTATATAAAAGTGATCATACATGAAACCCCTGGGATCAGGACAGGTATCTGATGCTACTGTATATAAAAGTGATCATACATGAAACACCTGGGTTCAGGACAGGTATCTGATGTTAAATAATATAAAAGTGATCATACATGAAACACCTGAGATCAGGACAGGTATCTGATGCTACTGTATATGATATATAAAGTATTTGACACAAAAGCCCTGGGATCAGGAGATGTATCTTAAGTTATTACAGTATTAATGTAATCTGAGAGGTATCTTAAGTTAATTTGTTTAATATAACATACACTGACTTCACATGAAACACCTGCGATCAGGACAGCTATTTTAAAGTACTGCATATAAAAGGCATTGGACACGAAACCCCTGCGAATACGTACAGGTATCTGAATCAAACGGCTGTTTTCATAATCTGCGCATGATCCGTGACCTATGCAAATTCACAGATAGGCCACGCCCACTTGATGACGTAGTAGCGGTTACGCTTTACTGAAACCCCTGGAAAAAAGTGACTGCCGTTAATCATCCACAGCTAAAACACCGCTCATCCAAACTACTTAAGTGCTATTAAGTTTTACGGGGTTTAAAGTTAAACAAACTACAATGTATTTTTTTTTTGCCTTCTCGAATAAGTCACAAGATTGTATTTATACGGCTTTTGTTGGATTAATTAGTGTAAACCGCCATAACATTAACGTTACATGTCATAGTGTTCCAGTTGTTTTCGTTTGTCCATGTTTAACATATATAACTCGAATTAGTCGCTGACAAAAGTCAAAAGCTAGTCATTCACAAACAGTCCAAAGGGGAATGTTGTATATCGTGTTTAAATGTTACCTTGAGTGAGTTAAAATGAAGTTGGAGAAAGTGCGCGTCGTCTGTTTTGCAGTCTTGTGATCATATGCTGCTGTTTCGCGCGCTAACATATCAAATGTCTTCTTTAATGGCGGATAACACCAACGTTTATATTCATTTATCGCCACCTACTGAGACGGAATCAGTGTGAACAAGAGTTTGTGTATTCTCAAAAAAACATAAACTACTTATATATAATTAATTTGATCAATTCAGTTATTCTAAGCAAACAATAAACTCTGTTCCACTCCCACTTTACTAAACAGTCAAGTTTTTAAGTCACCTGTTATGTTGGAGTGAGTAAAATCAATTACAGCATGCAATTTGGAAAACTCTCTTATCTCTATTCCTCAGATATTATTTAGATGTGAACTAAAGCTGTTTTTCTGGTTTCTAAAACCGTAATAAAAGGCATAGTTCACCCAAAACTGAAAATGTACTCACCATTTAATGTAAAGACTACCCATGTTCCGTACACTTTCCGATTTTCCATGCAGTCAAACGACCCTTAAAATGTTGTTTCACATGTCCAGGACTGTGATAAAAGTAAAAAAATAATAAAAAAATCCAGTCCACAAATACGTCATTTTGTGTTTTTTCACCAAATCAGTGACATCATTTGTGAATTTGGCAATTTAGGAGTTAAAAATCCTGTAATTTTTAAACATTTAATAGTCTTGACCAGGGCTGGGGTTGATTAACAGATTTGTGCAAAAAAAAAAGAAAAAAGAAAGGAAAAATCATTTATTTGATGGATTTTTACAGCAGCTTAATTCAGTGGATGTTTTCATCATAACAAAGGGGTAGAGAATTTTAACAGTGCACAAGGATTCAAAAATAAACAGCTTGATGGCTTCAGTCACTTAGTGTAAACGAAAATGTAGCAAAATCACAATTTTTACCACATAAAAAACAGGTTTTTAACTGCAGACTTTGAATTGTGTCGCATTGGAGTTGTTCAAGGTCTCAAACTGTTTTTTTGGGGGGAGGGGATTTGGTAAGTTTTAAAACAGCCAAATCTACCATTCAGTTGTCAAGCGAATTCACTTGTTACATATGAATATCTGTTTTTACACAGGTAATTGGCTTGTTTTGTCGTCCATTTCCTTGATGCGTCCAAAACATGTTGAAGAAGGGCCGGCGCGGTTACGCAGTGGGCAGCGCTGTCGCCTCACAGCAAGAAGGTCACTGCTTCGATCCTCGGCTTGGTCAGTTGGCATTTCTGTGTAGAGTTTGCATGTTCTCCCTGTGTTGGCGTGGGTTTCCTCCGGGTGCTCCGGTTTCCCCCACAAGTCCAAAGACATGCGGTACAGGTGAATTGGGTAAAATAATTTGTCCGTAGAGTGTGAGTGTGTGTGTGTGTGTGTGTGTGTGTGTGTGTGTTTGAATGAGTGTGTATGAATGTTTCCTAGTGATGGGTTGTAGCTGGACGGGCATCCGCTGTGTAAAACATAATGCTGGATAAGTTGGCGGTTCATTCTGCTGTGGCAACCCCTGATTAATAAAGGGATTAAGCTGAAAAGAAAATAAACGAATGAATTTTCTAAGAAAAGGACAAAAAAACAAACAAAATAATCCAGTGGTGGGCAAACTTTGTCAAACCGAGTTTGGACACCCCTAGTCTAAAACCAGTGTGATTAAAACAGGGCTGTCCAAACTCGGTGCTGGAGGGCCGGTGTCCTGGAGAGTTTAGCTCCAACCCTAATCAAACACACCTGAACCAGCTAATTAAGCTATTTCCAGGTCTACTAGAATCTTCCTAGCAGGTGTGTTCGAGCAAGTTGGAGCTAAACTCAGCAGGATCCAGGAACCAAGTTTGGACACCCCTGGATTAAAAACTCTCTCACTTCTCTACAGTGCAGTGACCGGGATGCCCTGTAGGTGGCAGCATAGTAGGGGAAAACAACAGGTCAAAGATGTAAATTGTTGAATGTTTGTTTATTCTCTCATATTTATTTGTATTTATTTAAAATATTCATCACTGTCAATCATGTCACGTGATTTAATCAGTTAATACAGGTGTTTCAGTTTAAATAAAATGCCTATGTCAGTCAGTGTAACTGCACTAGAAAAAGTGCAAGTGAAATGTCATGTGTGTCATTCTACACGTTAATAACGCTGAGCTAAAAGAACTCTGTTAACATAAAGGGGATTTTTTTCCTTTAAAATATTGAAAACCCACAAGAACAGTGTTTTATATTTTGCTGACATACTTGCATTATCCCAAATGTTTAGAAAAATGTTCAAATCCCAAGAAATGTGGTGTAAATTACATACTGTGTGCCTTTAAATAGAAAATAAAAAGTTCCGACAGCAGCATTGAGCTATTTTTCTTTCCACCAAGTTCAACACAACTGCACAGAAAGATAGTAAAGGTCTCTTTTATTTGAGGTATTGAGGAAATGCAAACAAGGGCACAAAATAAAAGAAAATAATTATAAAACAGCTTCTGTATCATCCCCGAAATAAACAAAAGCACTTCCTTCATTATCCTTTAACATGTCAGTAGCATCTGGCAATTGATTAATATAAATTCAGGGAGGTTTATAATAAATAAAGTAAAACAGCATTCATGTTTTCAGAAAAGAACTGAAGTTTACAGTACAAAACCGGAGATGTACAGCCAAAACCTGTACCCTTTATATAGTCTGATCTGTTAAATAATGAATGATTAAACTAAAACAGTCAAACAGAAAGACAGAAGCATTTCCTCTTGGTGATTTACTGGTCGAACAGATTCCCATCCTGAAGTTCAAAGGTCAGAGTAGTGTTGTCACAATCCTGGAATTTGACACCAATCGGTACTGAAATTTAAAAAATGTAAATTTCCTGCTAACATTCGAGCGCTGTTGAGTTCTTAAACAGTGCTGATTTGCCATTGTGTTCACATGCTCAACAGAAATGACTGTGATTGGCCGTGAAGGTCATCCGTTCACTGAACTCACCGATGTTTACTGAGTGTAACCACAGATACAGGGACACTGGCGTGTTTTAAAGCCGCAAAGATAAGTTGAATAATCAGCGGATCACTCGTATGTCAGCTTATAAAGGTCATCAGTTCACCGAACTCACCGGTTTACAGTTCACCGTTTACTGAGTGTAACCACAGACACAGGGACACTGGCGTGTTTTAAAACCACAACGATCAGCTGGTCTGTTTAAAAGCTGAACAACGAGTTATCTACTGATTAATTACACTCAGTAAACAGCGGTGAGTTCACTGAATAACCTTCACGGCCAATCACAGTCATTTCTGTTGAGCACGTGAACACAATGGCAAATCAGCTGTTTAAGAATTTGCTCAGCAGCGCTCAAATGTTAGCGGGAAATGGATGTTTTTTTAAATTTTGTACCGATTGGTATCGAATTCCAGTATCATGATCAACACTAGGTCAGAGGTCAAATAGAACTAGGGTTTTTATGATACTGGAATTTGGTACCAATAAATACTGAATTTTTAAAAAAAACGTCCATTTCCTGCTAACATTTGAGCCCAGTTGAACGTGTTCTTAAACATTCACTGATTAACCGGAATCATCCACGTTCTTAAGTGTTTTAAAGCTGCAGATTGCTCATACAGCATGTCAGCTTATAGACAAACCACCTGATCGACATGACTTTGAAATGCTCCAGTGTCCTTTTATCCGTGGTTACATACGCCCGATCAGTCATTTCTGTTCAGCATGTGAACACAATGGTAAATCAGCGCTGTTTAGGAACGCGCTCAACAACGCTCAAATGTTAGCGGAAAATGGAAGTTTTTAAAATTTTAGTATCGAATTCCAATATCGTGACAACACTAGATCAGACGTCACAATAGAGCACAAAGGTCGGAGTGTGAGCTAGATTCCGACTCATTCCAAAAACATCCCTTAAATACATTTTCATCGCAAATAGAATGTTCAAAAGTTCTAAACAGTACTCTAAAGAATGTTTCAAAAATTCAAAATGGCATTCTAAAGCAAACCTAACCCTTTTCTTTCCCTTTTCAGCCACATAATAATAATAAAGATCTTCAACATAAAATATAACCGTCTCTGCCGTGAGGATGCCACACTAGTCAGTGCACCACAACCATGATTCTACAGCAGATTTGGCTTCATCTGGAAGTAAAGGGGCAATGGATGGATGTAAGACACACACACACACACACACACACACACACACACACACACACACACACACACACACACACACACCATACATACACACACAAACAAATCATTAGAGAAAGACAAGTGAGCATTACAGCTGCAGTCTCTAAATGGAAACTTCAGGAAAAGTGTGAAGATTTAAAAAGTGCAAACAAGTTCCCTTCAGTGTTCTGCTTGTTCTTATACATCATCAAAGATGCGGGTGCGAGATGCAGACGTGGAGAGGTAATGTCCTCCAGGGTACCTACAGAGAGACAATCACATACAGTTGAATGCAAAATTAATATTTTTTATTAGAATTGTTACATTTTATTATTATATTATAATTTTATTGTTTTATTATTATATATATATAATATTAAATATATATAATATTATATATATACAAATATTTCTCAAGTGATGTTTAACAGAGCAAGTGAATTTTCACTGTATTTTCTATCATGTTTATAATCTGGAGAGTTTTATTTCTTTTTGTTTCATTCATTTACTCATGGCTTAGTCCCTTTATTCATCAGGGGTCGCCACAGGGGAATGAACCGCCAACTCATCCAGCATATGTTTTACACAGTGGATGCCCTTCCAGCTGCAACCCAGTACTGGGAAACACCCATTCACACACACACACACACACACACACACACACACACACACACACACACACACACACACACACACACACACACTACACTACACTACACTACAGTCAATTGAGCTAATTCTATTCAATGCAATGAGCTAAGCTATTCAATTCACCTATAGCGCATGAGTTTGGATTGTGGGGAAAACCCACGCCAACACTGGGAGAACATGCAAACTCCACACTGAAATGCCAACTGACCCAGCCGGGACTCGAATCAGTGACCTTCTTGTAGTTAGGCGACTGTGGTTACCACTAAGCCACCGTGTCGCCCCTTCCTTTAGTTAGACTGAAATTAAATCATTTTTAAGGTCAATATTATTAGCCCTCTTAAAATATGAGATTTGTTCGATTGGCTAAAGCAGGGGGTTCTAAAACTTTTTAGCCTGCGACCAAAATCAATGTGCTGCATCTGACACTACTGCTGTGTCTTGAATATAATGTAATTACACCAGGGGTTAGGGTTAAAAAATAAAAATCAAATAAAAAAAATCAAAAGGTTGATGGCTTTTTATTTGCATGTTGTTTATGTAATGTTTATTAATAACATGTTAACAATGACTACGTTTACATGAACCTCAGTAATCTAATAATTTCCCTTAATCTGAATAAGACAATAATATGATTAAGGTGTTTACATCATGAGGTGCTTTTTGAATGTTCCTTTCATGAACCTGTTTCACATGTTATAGCACATAATTTGATTAACGTCATTGTGTCATCGCGCTATCCACGTTTCCTCGGAGCCGTGTGTATATGGCAGGGCCGGAGTGGGACTCCTTTTCAGCCCTGGAGTTTCAAGCCTCAGACCGGCCCACCTCAGTTCACGACTGACTATATTAAAATAAGGTCATTTCCAAATCAGTTTCTGACACTATCATGTCTTTTTTTGAGAAAACAGCTGCTTTAGAACTTCAAATGTTCAACAACCCTAACAGTATTATATTTCTTAACAATAAAAATGAAAACAATAAGTTACTCTAACGAGGATCGAACCCGGGTCCGCGGCGTCTTAATCTAACGCGCTAACCGCTGGACCACAATAACTGTGTTTAGAAAGGAGACAAAAATAATGAATAAAAAGGCTGTGGTCAAGTAAATAAATAAATTTAAAAAGTGTGACTGCTGAGAGCAACAGATTCTGCAGCTAGGGACACCGGCCCTCGCGGCCAAAAAACGGACCGGCCCACCAGGAATTCTCCCGGTCCTCCCGATTAGCCAATCCGGGCCTGGTATATGGACTATCCTGTTGCAAAATGCATTGAAAAATCAACATACTCCATACTCATATCGGCATACTCCACATGCCCTAATTCCATTTCTGTTTAGTTCGATTATGACCTTAGTCGGAGGTAATAAATTATTAAGGTAATCAAAAATCGCTGTTAGACTCTTAATCAGAGTATTGTTTTAATCGCATTCAAATCTGATTATTGATGTTCATATAAACTTTCTGATTGTCAATATTAACTACTATTTTGTTCTTCAGTAGGTTATGGATAAAATATGGTCCTTCTAACAGTTCAATAAAATAAATTTGATTTTTGGTAATTGCCAAGCCACCATACCCCCCCACCCCCCTCTCATGGTCCCATGACCCACCAGGGGATCTCGACCACTTTGGGAACCACTGGGCTAAAGAACAAACCACTTGTGTCCAACAACTTACCTAGTTAACCTAATTAACCTAGTTAAATGTCACTTTAAGCTTAATACTAGTATCTTGAAAAATATCTAGTCAAATATTATGTACTGTCATCATGACAGTGGACAAAATAATTGGTTAATAGTTATTAAAACTATTATGTTTTACAAATGTGTTGGAAAAAAATATTCACGTTATTAAACAGCACTTTGGATGCATTAAAAACATGAAATAATGAAATAAAAGAACATTTACAACATTATTATTTGGGCAAAACATTACACTGTAATTCTAATCCCATACTTATATAGTCTTTGAAGTGGATGTCAAGTGTCAAATAAATGGTCAAAATTATGCTATGTTAATCTAGATCTATCCATCTATGGCCTGGTTTCACACACAGGATTTCGATTAAACCAGAATTAGGCCATCTTGAAGAAATTTCAGTCATCTTTTAAAATATGCTTAGAAAATGATTCTTACAGGTTAATGGTGTCCATTAACTAGATAAAAGGCACTGGTGGTATATTTTAAGATCAGGCAGTGAAAGTTTCCTTTAATTGAAACAGCTCTGACTATAGTTAACTTTGTGTGTGAAACCAGGGTTATGTTCTTTCTTTCTTTCTTTCTTTCTTTCTTTCTTTCTTTCTTTCTTTCTTTCTTTCTTTCTTTCTTTCTTTCTTTCTTTCTTTCTTTCTTTCTTTCTTTCTTTCTTTCTATCTATCTATCTATCTATCTATCTATCTATCAAAGCTAAACATAATCTACATGAACTAATGTGTGTATATAATAAAAATATGCAAAACATCTAAATGAGTGATTTTCTTATTCTCACCTGTGACTTTAGCATCTGTTCAGTTAAATAATGTATGATTCAACAACATCGTCAAACATGAGACAAAAGCATTTACTTTGGATATATGAGTAATGTCATATTAATAAAAAAACAAAATAGTTAAATAATTTTCTATTAAAACAATGAAATGTATGACATTCAAGGTTATATACTTATATGTACTTTTCAATAATGTTTAGAGTGACTAGATCAGAAAAACGTTCTTGAGTTTTACTTTGAACATGCTCTTATTTTCCGCAATATAATGAGTTTATATAGTGGGATATAATCATACAGACCTCCTGTTGTCTGTTTCCAGCGGTTCTTCTCCATTAAAGTCCAACGGTTCAACGTCTTGTAGTAATTCAGCCTTGTCGTTTCGATCTCTTCTAGACGGAGCTACACACACACACACACACACACACACACAAAACCTTGTCACATTTGAGAGAAGCAGAACCTTCGACCAACAGATGATTTTGAGCTGAGTCTCAAAACTGTCATGCAATATGGGAGATGTAGTTTATAGTCAACATTCGATTTAAGGCAGCATGGATTTGTATTATAATCCTGGGTTCACTCCAAATTTCGAAGCACCAAGTCACTTAGTCTAGTTTACTCATGGGATATTTTTTGAGTTGAATATCTTAAACTTGTGCGATAGAAGCAAATTCTGTGTGTTCACAGCAGAAAAAAAAGAACTAATAATAATAATAATAATAATAAAAACCAAAACGCATCATTCGCACTGCCCAGTTTGCAATGGCTTCTCATGTAATTTAGTTGCACAAAGATTTAAATTTGCACAAAATTATGCTATCTGCTTGCTAAGTCGTGACATATGGAACACTGTTTCCTGGTCCAAGCCACTACTCACTTTATGACCAATACAATCGTAATTTCAGAAAGTATTACAGCACTTTGTAAACGTTTATTATTCCCATTTGTTGAGTCTCCCCATACAGTTGTATATAGCGCTTGGACCCGGAAGCCACTTCGCGTGACGTCACACTTAACAAGTGGATGTTTATCTATATATCTCCATTTATGGCCTGTTTTCACAGACAGGCTTAGATTAAACCAGAATTAGGCCATCTTGAAGATCTTTAAGTAATCTTTTCAAATATGCCTTAGAAAACAATTATTACTGGTGTCCAATTTGAAACAAATGAACAAGACAAAAGTGCACTAATTTATTTTAAGATCAAGATTTTAACAACAGCAGAGATTTTTATTTATAATGCTGGGTTTACACCAAAAGCACCTTGTCCCTCACTCATTAGAATCAGGGATCCCACTCTTTCATGGACACCAAATTCAAGGACTTTTTAAAATCATAAATATTTTAAATCGATTACCTCTGTAATTCACACCCCCAGCATTTAGCGTCATCAAAGTCCTTCCTGTAATTAACATTTCACTTACACTTAATATTTACATCAAAATGTGATAATGATGATGTTTTGAATGTCATTTTTAAAAATGTTGACCATTTTAAACAACAATATTAAAGTCATGTTTAAAGAGGTGAATTCTATACTGGCGCTATTCAAATGCAGTTTCTGACATATTGATAAAATGCATTATTTGCAGGTAGCATAGAATTCTGGCACAGCAGGCATTCATCCGGCACTGGCATACAGCATGTGGGCCAAACATGGCCCGGGTTTGGCAGAGGTGGCACTGTCTTTAAGGCAGCACACAAGATTTGGGCCGGATGTAAAATGTAGTATTTGGCCCAGATGTTAAAAATTAATATGTGGACCACGTAAGTTTGGCCTGTCTTGACCCACATTTAAAATATATTACAATAATTTTTGAAAAAAGAAAAAAAAAATCTACCAATCAGTTCGCTTTGAGAAAAAAGCATGCCATTAGTGTGCCAAAAGCTCAATGCTTTGTCAGGGCTCGAAATTGCGACCATTTTGGTCGCATATGCGCCCGAAATTTTATCTATGCGACCTTAAAATATATTTGAGAGCATTTCTGCGAGTGCTTAAAATTGTTGTGTGCGACCAGTTTTTCTGCAAAATGTTCACCATATGCGCGGATTCGGGAGGCATTCACGCAGAATGCATCTCTGCTCTTGAAATGCGAAAGGCAGCACTCAGGAATGGTTTAAAACAGTTGTCATGTCAACTTGCTGCAGTAAACAAATCCAAGTCCGTAATGCTTGCCCCGCCTTCGCACTCTTCTTATTGGCCCACCACTGCTCTAGCACTGAACGCGAATGATTGGTTAATATCAGCTGTCAATCACTCAGCGCCTTGTGGCTTGGGATGACAGAGAGAGCTACTACCGCGAAAAATTGTAAAGCGCTGAAGATGAGAATGAAGATAATACTGAGATTTAGTTTTAGAAACCATCTAGTTACAAATAATGACACATCTTACTAGTGATCATGTGCTGAATGTCAATCCACCATCTACATTTTACCAAGAGTGGATAAAAGACTTCCGTTGGCTTTAAGTCCGCTATGAAAAGTCTGTGGGATGGAGTTTTCAGGTAACTGTTTGCCACATCTAGCACGAGAGCTTCTGTTTAATCCCTTATATAATCGCCAAATGCTGTCCGTCGTGCAAGTGGCAGCTATATGTCAAATTTAACACCACGTACACCATCGCAAACGGGCTCGAAACATAAACTAACAGCGCTACTCCTAAAAAAAAACGGTATTGCTATTAACATGTATGCATATAATAAGGTACAGTATGTGTCAAAAGCATCAGTGCAATATCTGACAGCACTTGTGAGAACAGCACAGTTTTACCGTTAACAGATTCATTCAAGCAGTGCGTGCAGGGCCGGTGAGCGCTCCGTGTATCTTTTGGTCACTCAGTTGTTATAAAAATATATTTTCTTGAGATAACAGGATTTCGTCGAGACATATTTTCCTCACGCTTGCATATATGTATTAATTTTTTTTGCTTGTTAGTTTGATTAGTGTTGATTTCAAATTCAATAAATATGTTTGTATAAAACTTGTGGTAACGGTGCTCATAATTGGTGGGTGCGACTAAATTTTGACTGATGCGCCTAAATTTTTTAAGTTAGGAGCACCGGTGCTACCAAGCAAAAAGCTTAATTTCGAGCCCTGCTTGTGGGTTATCAATTTCATTGCAATCGGCGCACACCAACATATTCAGCTCAGGCCTAGTTATGAGTTATTAACTTGGCCGTGACTTGACCCAGATATGTCCATGTTTGGCCCTTGTCTGGAAGCCAGACTTGGTCCAGTCATGTACCGTAATTCACTGCTAAGCAAAACCTGATTTGTGTGGGCCAGGGTTTTTCAAAGTCTAAGACAGTGGGTCTCCCTTTTGACACAACTTATCCATTGGCGCCCCCCTTCTCCCAAACACGCACACACACACACACACGCGCACGCACGCACGCACACACGCACGCACGCACACACGCACGCACGCACACACACACACACACACACACACACGCACACAAAAATTCTGGAGGTTTTCCTGCTACCTCATCATGCTTGGTTTCAAGGTGTCGCCCAAGTTTAGCGGGTCTCATGCTGTCATTAGCCAAAATATCTTGACAAACCACACATAAATGTCGTGGTTCATCAGCTGGTCCTGTCCACGTAAATCCTAAACTCAAATACTGATCATCATATCGTCGTCTTTTGGGTTTAAGCCCTGAACTTGAAGGCTTTGAATCGGGGGGTCTCAGAAACCGATCCATTGTATTAGCAGGCATATACCTGTATTGGCGGGCTTGCCAAACAGAAGCGAATTCACAGCTATGGCCCTCTGTGTAAAAAAGGTTTTCTTATTTTTGGCGTATTATTTTTTTAGCTTTGTTTAATTAAAAAGTTTTAAAATAATAAAAAATACATATAATAATTAAACTTAATAAGTATATTTTTATTATTTAATATTTTTCCCACGCCTCCCCTGACATGCTCTCACACTTTGAAAACCCCTGGTGTGGGCCATAGCTGGGCCAGAGAAATTTTCCTATGTGGGTTGTTATAGTTCATTGAGATTTAAGATTATTAAATTAAGAATTTCTTCAGTTTTTTTTCGTTCAGGCGTTAAAAAGCAGTATAGTACAATTAGTGAAATAACCGCATAATCTTTCAATTCAAGCACTTTCAAGGACCTGTGTTTGTTTTTAAGTACTTTCCAGACCTTGAATTCATATATCTGAAAATCAAGCACTAGGAAGTACTTCCAAGAAGTGTGGGAACCCTGTAGAATAGATTACTCATGCCTCAAGCGAATTTTCAGCTCAAGTTAAATATGAAAAGACACAATTGAAATGGATTCTGCATGTTCGCAATCCCAGCAAACACATCGCACATCATTCACACCACCCAGTTTGCATTGACTTTGCATTTAATCTACTTGCACAAATACTTAAATTCACATTTGGTGAGAATCATATGCTCTCATGGTCCACATAAATCAATACAAGTTTGACAGCCCTAATCTAACTCTATTATTGCTCAATGCATTTTGCAGTAGTGCTTTTAATACAGTGTTTTTGTGAGGCGTGCATCACCTCTGCTTGGGTCTGTGCTGGATCCATCCGTCTCCTTCAGCTCAGAGTAAGCATTTCTGTTCCTCCCGCTGTATCTTTCCCTCTGTTCACCATAGCGTTCCCTCCATTCCTGACAGAGACACAATAAACAAGGGTTTAGACAGGCATTAGTGTTGATTTATTCTCATCACTGATTGAGAGGCAGTTTAGGCAAGGCAAGTTTATTTACATACAGTTGAAGTCTGAATTATTAGCCTCCTGTTTATTATTTTTTATTTTATGTAGTGGTGAGAGTTGTGCGTGGCTTTCATTGCAGTGTAAACAGTGTAAACAAAAGCTATGTTAGACGAATTATTACAAACTATTAAAATGTATGTATGAACTCAAATGATAACAACAGTTTATTTAAATACTTAGCTAATATAAAGCTTAAATTTACATTAGACGTGATAACAGTGAAACCATGATTATTCTTCAGAATCGTACAACCAAAATCTATAATTGTTGCATCCCTAATTGTTATGCAGTTCAAAACATAACATGTGAACATATCTGGGTGAGGCAGTGGCGCAGTAGGTAGTGCTGTCGCCTCACAGCAAGAAGGTCGCTGGTTCGAACCTCGGCTCAGTTGGCGTTTCTGTGTGGAGTTTGCATGTTCTCCCTGCCTTCGCGTGGGTTTCCTCCGGGTGCTCCGGTTTCCCCCACAGTCCAAAGACATGTGGTACAAGTGAAATGGGTAGGCTAAATTGTCCGTAGCGTGTGTGTGTGAATGTGTGTGAGGATGTTTCCCAGAGATGGGTTGCGGCTGGAAGGGCATCCGCTGCGTAAAAACTTGCTGGATAAGTTGGCGGTTCATTCCGCTGTGGCGACCCCGGATTAATAAAGGGACTAAGTTGACAAGAAAATGAATGAATGAATGAATATATCTGAATGTAGAAGAAGCCTGCAATGCACTGCCTTTGTTGTGTTTTGAAATGCAACATTTGAATGTTTGTTAAAAAAAAAAAAGCCTATTGTACAATGCACTGATTTTATTCATTCATTCATTCATTCATTTTCTTGTCGGCTTGGTCCCTTTATTAATCCGGGGTCGCCACAGCGGAATGAACCGCCAACTTATACTAGAGGGAACACTGTGGCGGCAGGCCCTTTACACAAATCTTCCAACTACCTATGGCGCTATTTTAATGACAAATGTCATTAGTCTGTTTGTTCTGTAGACAGTCAAAAAAAAAAAATTATATTGCTAATAATTGTGACCTTAAAATGGTTTTAAAAAAATAAAAACTGCTTATTCTAGTCGAAATAAAACAAATAAGACTTTCTCTAGAAGAAAAAATACTATAGGAAATACTGTGAATAATTTCTTGCTCTGTTAAACATCATTTGGGAAATATTTGGAAAAGAAAAAAAAATTTCACAGGAGGGCAAATCATTTCATACACAATGGTAATTCAAAGTGCTTTACATAAACAAGAATAAAGGAAACATACGAGGAATAAAAAAAAGCAAAGAATTCAAATGATTAAAAACAAAATGGATTTAAAAGGATCAAACTCACTCTCCGTCTGCTCTCGCCGTCCTCTGTTCTCTGACGCTTTCTTCTTTCTGAAAATGAAGACATTTTACAGCATTTTACAAAAACAATGATATGGCTTGACACGTGCAGTTTGCTGTCCTGTATTTGTTTCTGAAATATGCAAGATGTGACTGAAGCAGCTTTTAAAAAGCCTAGTGACCTTTCATTTACGTCAAAGGCTCAACGCACCCCTTAAGATGAACCGTATGCTATGCTATTACATCAGGGTATATGCAGGAGTCCTAAAGGTAATTTCAATACCTTTTTAAGACTTTTTAAAGACCTTCTCAGAATATTTTAAGACTTCATTGCCACTTCAAGTTCTAATCAGTATCAAACTTTTAACTTAATAATCGGTTGTTAATAAACAGTTGTAGTTACATAAATCAATGGATCACAACCATGCAACCTTAGATAAGCTCAGAAGAAAGAAAGCTACGTGGTTGTTTTCAGCATCAGGCTTTAGCCACTGTTTAAACTCGTTTTTCTCCAACCAGGAGTATGCAAACTTACATTTTCCCATTTTGCCGACGTGTAGTTACATTTTTTGAGAGGTGCACGTCAGTGACGGCGACGGCCACGGCGAAGGGCTATGCGTCAGCGCTGTAGCATACGCCGGCGTTTGACGCAGAAGTATAAATCAGCCTTTAGCTGATGATTGGTAATAAGCTAGTTTGGCATGCTGTCCCGGGAGAGAGCCCCGAGCTCATGAGAGCCTCAAGCCCAGGGCTCCCTCCCGTTGCAGGGTGAGAGAGGACTTTGAGCTCGGGTAGATCTTGAGAACACCCACCCAAAAAAGAGGAGGCGAAGGGGTGGAAGGGGGGATTCTTCAAGACGAAGATGACTAAAGGTAAGGTGTTTGGTTATTTATACTTGGTTAGGAATAGTCTGACTGGAGGTTCGTACGTTAGCTTGACTCGGGGCCAGCCGTGTCAATCATAAGCACGTGATCCTCTTGAAATTAGTTTATGAATAAACTTCACTGAAGGGCCTTAATTTTCTCATAACTGATTTATCAACTTTTAATACTTTTTAAGACCCTGGGGCAGAGGTGTGGACTCGAGTCATGTGACTTGGACTCGAGTCAGACTCGAGTCATGAATTTGATGACTTCAGACTCGACTTGACAAAATATGAAAAGACTTGCAACTCGACTTGGACTTGAACATAAATGACTCGGACTTTCACTTGGACTTGCGCCTATTGACTTGTAAAGACTTGCTACTTTCTATAAAAAGCCCAAAGATAAAAAGTATGTTGACACGGAGCGCTCTATCTCTCTGTGTGTGTGTGTGCGTGTGTGACAGAGAGCATGCACGCATACTTTCGACCACTAGCACTTTGTGGCGCACTTCCGTGTTTTTGCACCAGCGGGAAATTTGAAGATGCCATTTTCATTCTGACTCGGAGAGTGAAATAAACACATCCGCGATCTGCTCCTTTTGTTTTATTCAGCGGATTTACAACATCTGTCAAAGGTAAGAGACTTTACTACTCGCAATGTGTTACTGTTGTGCAAAAGCATTGTTTTACTGTTGTGCATAAGTCAATGAACTTCAGTTTTTTTAACCAAACTTACCCTCTCGTGATTTATTTCACATAATTATGAATGAACATGGCTGTAATTTATGTTTTTGCACTTGGTCGTTTGTGTCAATGCGCATATTATGTTTTATTTTTGTGTTTTGCCCATCCTCTGACAGTATTTTCTAACTATTTAATTAGTAGTAATAATAATTACATGCCATAATAACTAGATATATATAATTTATTTTTAAAGCTCTTAAAACTGTGAAAAAAAGTATTTTGTTATTTTTTTGGTAACATTTTGCAATAAGGTTTTTTTAGTTAATGTACTAACATGAACTAATAATGAACTATACTTTTAAACCTTTATTAATTATAGTTTAACATTTACTATTGCATTATTACAATTTAAAGGTATGCTTGTTAACATTAATGTTAATGCACTGTGATTTAACAAAGGTTAACCAATAATTTTATTTCCATTAATTAATGAATACTGTAATGATTTGTAACTGTACTTCACTGCATTGTTTGTTCACATTAGTACATAGATAAACTTAATTAATTAATACAACCTTATTGTAAAGTGTTACCTTTTTCATATTTTGAATTGATACTATTAATTTTATTTAGTATTTAAAACCTTAAAAGTATTTGTATTATTGATGATGTTATGCCTCTTAGCAATATTTTAGTCCTCTATATGGTTTTTAATTAAATTTTTATTGTGAGATTGTAATGTAATGCATATATATATATTGTTGAATTTCTGTTTGTTTGTTTTTCTGTATTTCCCCCTCTATATTTAAGGCTTATCTACTATTTTTAAGGTACTTAAAACCAACCATCTAATAAAAAATACAAGTGTCTTCGTTTCATGAGTGTCTTTGTTCCTGTTTTGTAGGACTCTTATTTTAACAGATTTCATTTGGAAACACTTGACTGATCATTCAATTAAAGTTTTACCTTTATTATTTCATCACTCAATGAGATCATTTAATTGTGAGTTGAATTACTCCATTTGTAATTGTTTTTAAATAAACTAAAAACGAAGACTTGTTTTATTCAGTTTGTTGAATTTGAACTCTACTTTACATATTAAAAGATATTTAAAACCACTATGAATGTATTTAAACTAATATTTAAATTTATATAACTGTTTCACTGTGGGTATTTCTATTTTAATTTATTTAGCACATTTATTGCCTATTCAAACATGAAAACAAGTTTTAGATAATTTGTGGCTCTAATAAGTTGTTAAACATTACAAAATCCCTGCAGAAAAATCCAGCTTAAACAGGCTGGTAAGCTGGCTTTAGCTGGTCGACCAGGCTGGTTTTAGAGGGGTTTTGGTAATTTCTAGGCTGGTTTCCAGCCATTTCCAGCCTGGTCTTAGCTGGTCAGGCTGGAAACTGACCAGCAAAATCCAGCTAAAACCAGCTTGACCAGCCTGTTTTAAGCTGGACATAGCTGGTTTTGGCTGGGCTCCCAGCCTGGCTAGGCTGGTCAAGCTGGTTTTAGCTGGTCATCTCCCAGCCTGACCAGCTAAGACTAGGCTGAAAATGGCTGGAAACCAGCCTGGAAATGGCCAAAACCCCTCTAAAACCAGCCTGGTCGACCAGCTAAAACCAGCCTAGGCTGGTTCAAGCTGTTTTTTTCAGTAGGGATTTTTGACAAAATGGTCTAAAATGATAGTTTACAAGTGCCTAAGTGGGATTTGAACCCCGTTCTTTATGAAAAGAAAGAAAAATCTGATTGGCTCTGACATTACTTTCACCAGTGGGCAGGTACTTCAATCTGATTGGCTGGTCTCTCGTGCATGTATTCAGTCTCACTGCGTTTGCTTGACTTTTGTCCACACTGGCGCCTCAAACCTTTCCTGCTTTTGCTCTCCAGAGATCCTCCTGGTAAATTGATTATTCCAGAATGTTGATATGGTTTATATATTGCTACACTATTTAGTAACAATACATGAAAAACTATGAGGTTAAGGTAAATTCTATAATAAATACTAGTGTTTTTGAGAGTTGGGTATACTGCCTATGTTTTAGGCTAGTATTATTTACAAGTTGTTAATGAATGCTTCAGCATACTGTAGTATTAAGAATAGTGAACTGATAAAATAAAATACAGAGTGTAGTTTTACTACAGTAAAGTGTGGTGAATTGTAGTATAATATACCCTATATTGTAAAAAACTACAGCACTGGGTCATTTGTTTATATTACACTTGTGTTACCATAGCAACTATAATATGACCCCAACAAATTAATTAAAGTACTTTACTATAGTACTGTTCAAAACCCTGTCCATGCCAATAGATGTGTTCAGGGGCCCTGTGGAACAGCTTTTCCTCAAAATGAAGAGGATGACATGGAAAATGTCCTCCACAATCTCATCAATAATGTGGAAGACAGCAGAGACGTGTTCATTTTATTTTAGTTGCCATGATAAAATGGGATTGATAGTGAAAATTTATTTAAAGAGTGAATAGTACAGTAGGCTATAATGCCAAATCAAGTTTTTCCTTATTTTTATCACAGTTAAATTTCTGCTTGCGTTAGTTATATTTTTGTTTAAATGTTTTTTTATTTGATTAGTATGGTACACCTTTCGGATGATTAATAAATGTTTGTAAAACAAAATGCATTCTTTACATCCAACCTCTATTCTCTGTGTCTTTAAGTGTTTGTAACTGGAAATATCTCATCATAAAACATACAGCCAAAATTTTATGGTTTATTAGATAAAAAAAAATAATATGTAAGTCTATTTTAGTATTTTGGTTATTGTTAATAAATAGTGCCTCAATATAAATCATATCAAAAAGCACGAAAGGAAGAGGAAACACAAGACTCAAATTCTGTATATAATCTCTGAGAGCACGCAGAAAAATGTGTGTGTGAGCAGTGCATATTTGAGAGCGAGAAAATTTGCGCGTGAGCAGCGTATATTTGAGAGCTCGCAAGCAGTTTTGTCCACAGAGGAAATCGGTGCACGAGCATCACACAAGGTAGAGAGCAAAGTTCTTCATTGTTATGTGAAGAAAACAACGTTAATGTTTGTATAAAGTAGCCTACTTCATTGAGAATATGTGCCACAATTTTACATTGCTGCTTGACAGATTTGCATCTTCATCTCTTTAGCACACACGAGATTCAATTGACAAAATACCAAGTTCACTCAATTTTACTTTGCAGCATACAGGAGTTGTTGGTCTACTGTTGCCTCATTGAGGTCGTTTATGTAGTTTTAGTTAATCACAAGTTGATCACAGAAGACATAACATAGCACAACTAAACTTAATGAATTAGACAGCAGTAGACCTGCAATTTCTGTGTGATGTGAGGCAAAATGGACTCTATTGTAGTGGAACTCGTTCTTGTGCAATGTGCTGTGTAGACAAGATGCAGCACTGTTTAGCACTTTTTCAGAAAATTACATTTGTTTTTTTTATATATCTGAGCAATGTTCTTTCATAAAAAAAGGTTTGTTTAATAAATACAGATCTTACAACCATACATAATCTGTTTACAGTTCATTTTTCTGTTAAAAAGACTCGAAAAGACTCGAAAATCAAACTATAGGACTTTGGACTTGACTTGAGACTTGTTGCCTTTGACTTGGGACTTGACTCGGGACTTGCCTGTCTTGACTCGGGACTTGACTCGGGACTCGAGGGCAATGAATTGAGACTTACTTGTGACTTGCCAAACAATGACTTGGTCCCACCTCTGCCCTGGGGACACCCTGTACATTATTCAGATGGCAAAATATAACAGCACTTTAAAGCATGCAATTATTTAGCAAGAAATGGACATGAGGTATGTTTGCTTGGATGCTGAGAAACTAAATATTTAGCAGATACTTAAACTTGCTTAAGTTCATTAATTTATTAATTATTAAGGAAATGCTTGCATTAATTCAAAATGTAACTAAAAATCAAAAACTCTCATCTAAATGTGTCTTTTTTTAACGATTTGATTATACTTTCTTTAAAAGATAAGAAAATGTAAAGTTTTTAGGTAAATAGTCTTTTGAGTAGTGTTAGCACCTCTCCGGATGAGTTCTTTCCCCTCGTCTACCAGGTCAGAGGTCAGATCATTGTCACCCATAAACTGCTGAAAACCCAGCAGATTCAGACAGCGTGTGCCCAGACTACAAAAAAACAACAACATGAGGAGAAACCATTAGCTAACAGACCTCCAACAAACAACCTCTGTGGTTATCTGAAAGCAAAATATATAAATATTTGAGTTACATCTCACCTGAAATAAGTCGCGATGCAGAGCAAAACAATGAGCATAGGATAATAAATGTAAAATCCATTAGCAATGAATGACAGGACCTGCATGGATCCCATTATCTTTCAAAAAGAGGAAAAAACAGAGAGAGAGAGAGAGAGAGAGAGAGAGAGAGAGAGAGAGAGAGAGAGAGAGAGAGAGAAAGAGAGAGAAAGATATTTTAAGAGTGTGGCCTTTAAGTATCAATATATCTGTTGTGTGCTATAACTGAAAACCAGTTATGATATTGAAATTGGACCAGAACTATTACAAATAATTAAAATGAAAAAGATTAAACTACAGTAATTTTTGTTATTTAAAATAGGTAATAATATATTAATAAATATATAAGTAAACAAACATCTTGTTGAACATCAAGGATTTTTTTCTTAATTTAAAGTGACTAAACTAAAATAAATAAAACTAAAATATCGTAACAAAATCTAATGATACTAAAATAACAATGACGTCATAGGTCAAACATTGTTTATATATTACATTTTTAAACATGTTCGACTTTACATTTCATCACAGTAAAATAACAGATCAATATAATACTGCATAAAATGATAGCAATTTAAAACAATTATACTCAATGTTATGAACTATGCATTGTCTACAACAGGGTTCACCAATCTTGGTCTTGGAGGGCCGGTGTCCCTGCAGGGTTTAGCTCCAACTTGCCTCAACACACCTGCCTGGATGTTTCAAGTATACAGAGTAAGACCTTGATTATCTTGTTTAGGTGTGTTTGATTAGGGTTGGAGCTAAAATCTGCAGGACACCGGCCCTCCTGGAACAAGTTTGGTGACCACTGGTCTAGAATAAAGTGTTAGAAGTGAAAATAAAAAATAATTTTTTATAAGCATTTCATATTGACAAAATATTACTTAAAAACTATGTTAAAACTATGTAAAGTGATGAATTACAGGCCGAAAGCGTAGCCTTTGAAACCTTACTGGCTAGACGACTTATTCTTATGAATTGGAAGTCAGCAGCTCCCCCATCTTATCGGCAATGGGTTTTTGATTTCCTGCATGCTCATCGAAAGATTCGGTTTGCAATAAAACAAAAGCAAGAACAGTTCCAGAAAGTCTTTCTATCTTTCTTTTCTTTGTATTATTTATTTTTATTTTGTTTATTCTTTTATTTTTGTTATCTTGTGTTTGTATATCTTTGTGTATAAATGTGGTATTTTATCTTTATTTATATACTTATTTAGTGTATAATTATGTTTTTCTGACAATTTCTTGTTTGGTGAATTGTATCAGTGTGTATATCTATATGTATCAATATTATATATATTTTAATGTATGACCTAAGATGAACCTAATAAAATAATAATAATAATAATAATAATAATAATAATAATAAATAATAATAACAATATTAATAATAATAATAATAATAATAAAATAAAAATAAACAATAATAATAATACTAAATTAAATTCCATAAAAATTATATTATTAATACAACTAGTCACAAGATAAAGTGCCAGATCTGTATCTAACAAAAAATTCTTGATTTCTACTAAGTACAAAAAAAAAACTATGTAAAGTGTAACGTATATATCAAAAATATTTGATGTCAGATATCAAAAATATATATATCAGATTTAAGCACAATTTCATATGCAAAGATTTTGATTTGAATTTGAATATTCATTCTTTTGTTTTTATCATCAAATACAGATGCCATACTGCGTTTTTAATTAACAAATAAATAATATTTAATTTTGTAAACTGCATATTCCTGTTCATTGTGGATTAAATTAAGTATTGGCACATGTTAAATATATCACAAACATTCTTATTCTTATTAATAATACAATTCTTGATAGTTATTTTTACAAATTATTATTACTTTTTTGTTTAAAAGGGATTTCAGCAGTCATGAACATGTATTTCGTATAAAAAAATAAACATTTTGGACATGCATTATAATAGTGCCATCGGATATATGGAAAATATGCAAATTACATATATGACAGACAAGTTCATATTTGAATTCAACATATATAAAATGTGTCATATATGCAACATGCATTTCAAAATACTGCAAAAATGGCTGTTTATATTGTATATTTTATATATATATATATATGTTTATATGTATATTTTATATAAGTTCATACATGGCCACATATTAAGTTATATTAATTGAATTATTCTTCAAAATAAGCTCTGATTTAAGCTTTCTTCAGCCTTTTGTCATCATTGCATGTATAAAAGGCCATTTCTTGCAATATTTTGAAATACAAGTTGTGTGTATATGAGTGTTTGTGTGTGTGTGTGTGTGTGTATGTGTGTGTGTGTGTGTATATATATATATATATATATACATATATATATATATATATATATATATATATATATATATATATATATATATGACAATTATTTTATATATGTTGAATTCAAATATGAAGTTGTCTGTTGTATGGAATTTGCATACATTTCCATATATCAGATTTCTATACGGGTTAATATCATTCAGCCTTAGTGATTAGAAATAAAATCTAGCACATTTATTATATGTACAGTTATGTAATGATACTGTATCTGATTGTTGTGTGTGTGACTCACTGAAGTGTACACTGTGGGCTGTCTCTGCTGGTGAGAGATGGTGGAGTCCATGTGAATCACACCCAGAAAGTTCAGACACAGTGGAGGAGTCAGACGACAGAACAACCTGCACAAACGCAATGACATGCTAAATACTAACACACAAACTGATCAATAGTATTTTGTGACAATCAGATGGTGTCTCTTACATGCCGCTGAACTGCAGACTGTAGGCGTCTGTCTGGTGATGTGGAGCAAGGTAATAATAGTTGAAGACTCGTATCCGAAAGACAGTGGAGTACACGCAGTAACACAAGAAGAATATGGTGACAAAACACGCCATCTGGTGGACAAAGACAAAATAACCATATGGAGGTTTTAGTTTTACAACCCTTCCAAACACTTTTAAATCACTCAATCATGATACATAAAATCAAGTGAGTGTATTTATATAAAATTACAACTAAGTACAATTTTTATTTTATTTTTACTGCACCATGTGTGAACTTTAATTGATGATTATTTATTTTTTACTACTACATTAAGTACTACTGCTTTACAATTTAATTAAATGCGTTTTAATTTAGAGCATTACTTTGCATAAAATAACTAAAAAGGAGACATGTTTACTGACAACTCAGAATGTCTTTTTAATTTAAAAGATCTTTAGATGTTCAGATATACACTCACCGGCCACTTTATTAGGTACACCTGTCCAACTGCTCTATAACACAAATTTCTAATCAGCCACTCACATGACAGCAACTCAATGCATTTAGGCATGTGGACATGGTCCAGACCATCTGCTGCAGTTCAAACAGAGCATCAGAATTGGGCAGAAAGGTGATTTAAGTGACTTTAGATATGGCATGATTGCTGGTTCCAGACAGGCTGGTCTGAGTATTTCAGAAGCTGCTCATCTACTGGGATTTTCATGCACAACCATCTCTTGGGTTTACAGAGAATTGTCAGAAAAAGAGAAAATAACCAGTGAGCGCAAATGCCATGTCATAGAGCACAAATAATCTCGGACTGGTTTCTTGAACATGATAATGAGTTCCCTGTACTCAAATGGACTCCACAGTCACCAGACCTCAATCCAATAGAGCTCCTTTCGAATGTGGTGGAACAGGAGATTCGCATAATGGATGTGCAGCCAACGAATCCGCAGCAACTGCTTGATGCTATCAGGTCAATATGGACCAAAATCTCGGAGGAATATTTGCAGTACCTTGTTAAATCTACGCCACAAAAAACTAATGCAGTTCTGAAGATAAAAGTGGGTCCAACCCAGAACTAAAGTGGCCAGTAAGTGTATTTCGTGGAATAACCCTGATTTTTAAGCAGAGTAAATGAAAATATTTGTTACTCTGACCAGTTGTTATTTTTAAGAAAAAAAAAGCTCTAAAATAACATTTTATAAATGAAAAATGTGGACAAATGTTCTCAGACCCATACCTAACAACAACAATAATAATAATAATAATAATAATAATAATAATTTAATAAATAAATAAATCTAGCAGAGAACTGACTTTTATGTAGTGGAATATAATATAAAATAATGTAATGCAGCCTGGCCTGAATAAACTTATAGGCCTTTATTTGATATATTTGACAATTTTTCACATTAATTTTACCTCACTTGGTTTACAAAGTGTGATTATTTAAACTGCACATTTATTGTGTAAATAGCAAACAACTGTGAACAGGAACTTAAAAATTATTAATAAAAACCTTGCACCAACTGTGGATGGTATTTGCTTTTAAAAGAACTTTAATAGACTAATAAGCAGCAAATGTTAATCTAAAATGCCCTAAAAAAACAATTATTCATATGATTTCAAACTGATAGGTGGGCTTAACCCTATCAGATTTAAAAAATAATAATAATCATAAATTCAAAATACAGTATTATGGTCCCCAAAAATTCGAAAGGTTTATTCTATATTCCTGCTTCAACTCTGACTGGCCTTTTGTCATCATTGCATGTGTGTTTCTCTTCACCTCTATGTAAACGTAGTTGTAGTCTCTCTCTGCGAGCTGAATGAAGACGGCGAACAGAGATAGAACAGGCTGTGTGCTGAAGAAGGTGCATTCAGACCAAACCACGGCCGCAGAAAACACACACAAAACCACAGCCAGCACGCGATAACACCAGCGGCGGAAAACACACTCCCAGTACCACTCTAGAGAAGAGAAAGAGACGCTCATTACACAAACTTCTCATTTACAGCATTATTACTGAAGCTTAGCGATTTTGAACAAACCTCTAGCTTGGGCTGCACAATATATGGCTAAATTATTGCTATTGCGATAATAGTATATGCAAATATGTAACCCAGACGTGATAAATTAAATTCATTTTATACATTGGTAGTTTATCTAAATCCTATCTTTATCCCCACCTCCCCAGTAGTTGCGGTTCTGCTAATGGCTAGAAGGTGAACCCAGAGCTGAAAATATACACTAATAGTCGAGACGAGAGAGGAAAACGACAACAGCCAATCAGAGTCAGAATATCTGTTGAGGTTTTCACTCATTCTTAGGGTGCTTTTACACCTGTGAATCGATTCATTTGTTCCGAAACAGGGATTTAAATTGTTACAATGTTGCTCTTTGTTCTTGGTGCGGTTCGCTTTCACATGGCAAAGTTTCTAATCGGAACAAAAGAGCTAAAACAAGTCATGTTCGATTAAAATCTCCTCACATTGGTCAGAGTTTCAGGGTTTATTTAGCAGAGTCCCGTTTAACTGTCATGCATCCTTTTTTTAATTTGTGAAGATGAGCAATATATATGCCTATGACATATCCATGATACACTGTGATATACTCAGGCTCGGATTGTATCGCTTTCTCACAACAATCTATCCGCTCCCGAGTTTTTAATCGAGTAGAAACCACTTCATTCAGGCAATCTGGGACCGATTTATTTGGCACGGACCTAAGCACGATTGCTGGATTCACATATGCCAAACGAACCACGCTAACTGTGCAAACGAGACAGGTTCCGAAACAAAAGTCTAGGTGTGAAAGCACCCATATTGTTTTTAAGACAGAGCACCCTATCATACATCCATACATATCATACATAAGACATGTTTGGCGTGATTTGTTGCTATTATCAAACCTAATTTTCACGTTTTGTGCAACTTTGTTTAAATAGCAAATCTATTTGAGGCACTTTGTGGAGCGTGCTGGTCTAAAAAGGAGGTGTGTTAAGACGCATTGTTTTTTCAATTTATTCATGACAATTTGCATTTGGATAATATTATGTTATTATTAGTAGTAGTAGTATTAATTATGTATATTTATACTTGTTTTAATAAAAACAAGTGTCGATTTGCCCACCTTTCAGGACGCGTGTTTGGATAAAACTCAGTTTTTTGACCACACTTCATTATTATTGTTCATTTATTCATTTGCTGGAAATTAGAATTGAATTTAAAATAGTTTTGAAACAAATATTTGCGCTTAACAAATTAAAGGATAAATGAAACGGATGTTTCAGTGGAGTGAGTTTCCACCGTTTCCTTACTCCACAAAAGTAAAGGAGTAAAGAGTAAAAGTAAAGTAAAGAGAAAGTAAAGAGGCTGAATGGAGGAGGCTCATTCTTTATCCTTGCGCTGCAGATGGTCTGTTTAACTGTTTTCTCGCTAGTGAAGCGTTCAGTTTTTCCTCTTACAAAGTCCATCATGTGAATAGCAAACGTGTCATGGTGCAACACACCTGACTCTTAAAGGGAATGAGAGATGAGACTCTGATTGGTTTAATGCATGTTATGCTCAAAACACACCCAGAACTCATTAAGAGAATAAGCACAACCCTGTTAGACCATGCGCCAGGGTGCAGAGCGTATTTTTCAGTCCTTAAAATAGCAAAAGTGGATTCAGACACGCCCTTAATGCTTTTGCGCCCTGCGCTTTAGACTTTGAGCTTAGATTGTTAAAACAGAGCCCTAAATATTTGCATCTCAACAGTTTTTTAGCCTGAATTAGAATGATTTAGATCTGAAAATATATATTTTTCATGTTTATTTTAATATCATTAAATAAATCAATAGTTTAAAAACATAGCTAATAAAAAATTGCATTTTTCCAGGGAAATTTTATATTTTAAGAAATATCGTTATCGCAACAACATTACAAATTTTTCCAGCAGCCCTAACCTTCAATATGCTTTAAATGACAACATTAATTGTGCAGCTGTTCAATGATGAAAGCAAACTACAGCAAACGGAAAGGTCACAAGTGGGTGATATTAGTCATCTGTGTGTTTTTTTTAATGTACCAACCAATCCAAACATACATACTATGCAGAGTTGATAGTGGCTTAATATTTGAAATAAACTATTGATATTTCCGTTAGCTTTCTGATAGAGGCTAAGGAGTGTTGCTAAACTTTTTGTGCAACAGTCTGGCTTTGTAAAAACTGTAAAAAAAAGCTGTTGAAATCATCCAGGTTAAACATGAATTAAAGAAAAGATGAGCAAACAGTTGCAGGCACCAGATAAATGTTAGTAGAAGTCATACAATGTATATTTTTGATACTTATATTTATTAAAATAATAAATTATGCAATGTTAAAATAGTTTTTTTTACAAGTCTGAAACATTTCTACACTTTGCCATGTCACAATATTAATTTAGATGCTATGTACTGAGAAAGAACACTGATCACTGAAAACATCAGTCTATGATCATGTTTATCATGGTGGCTATAGAAGTAATAGATAATAAGCATTTGCGCAGCATTATGAATTAGGTTTCAATGTCGGCATTGCTTGTGTAGATTTATTTTTAAAGATAATAATAAAAGTGTTTTCTTTTATGGTTGGGATATGTAAAAGCCCAGATATTTATCCTATTTTACAATGCAGAAGAAAGATCTTTTCTGCTAATGTGTTAAAATTCTGATTCATTGGACAACAGGGAAAAGTCTAGGAACAAATGACAGTAAACGGTCAAAATATTTGCTCTGTGTTTATGCGTTTACTAAAATTAAAATAATTTAAAAAATAATATTAAAATAATAACGCAAGAAAATAACAGTTTTAACTTTAGGCAGCATAACAAGCTGCTTTTTATAGTAGAAAATAAGTTAAAGTGAATAAGACCAGGGGCCTCATGTACGAAGACTTGCGTGGAAATCATACTAAAACATTGCGTACGCAGAAAAAAATTCAGATGTATGAAACACTGCGTACGCCGAATCTCACGCATATTCTTTTGTACATCCGAATGAACGTGAAACTGAGCGCAACATGCACGAGCACAAAACCCCTCCCTGCCTCCTCCCCCGTATGAATATGCTAATGACTCTACTTTGGCAAAACTCAACGAAAAAGCAAAGGCAAAAACAAGCAAAAAGAGAAACTTTGAACAGAATGTGAATTGGAGGTGCTGCTTTCGGAGGTAGACCGGAGAAAAGCGGTGTTATTTGCAAGTTTGTTCTCCGGAATTGCCAAGAAAAGAAAAAAATAGTGTGAGAGTTTAGCTAATGCGGTTAACACAGTTGGGTCTGAACATCGCACTGTGGCGTTAAAAGAGAAATAGTGTGGTTTATAGGTGTAAAATGTTGCAGTACCCTTAACAGTCTCAGTGGCGCAGCTCGTAAATCGCATGTTAACATGTGTTGACACGATCAAGCATGAATCGGTTCGAATCCAGCGTCTGATGAACTCTTTCTTCTTTTTTCCCCCGCTACATATCAGATTTTGCCAACTATTTATCACGAGAAAGACAAGTAGGAATCATTAATAAGTTTGTGAATATTTTATTTGCACATTTAGTGAATGAAAATGTTTCTGATTCACGCATGCAAATTCATCTTCAGATAGTGTCTTTATAGCAATGTGCGTGCAGTAGATAGCTCAGATTACATTGGGGAAACAGGCGACCGCTGCAAATTGCGCTTTAATGTTTGGCTGGTCAACTGTATGGTATGGAAACCTTATACCTGCTAGATGAACCCGTCTCATACAGCTGCCATTGCAAGGCTCAGACACTTTGTAGAGAGGAATTTAACACAACTGCCTCTAGGAGTCGCCAATGTAAATAAAACAGACACGCACAAAAAAAGTGCGTACGCAGCCAGAAAGCTGCCGTGGAGCTGCGCACATTCCCACGTTCAGTTCATTGTTAGTAAATCCAAACGTGAGCGATTCTGAGCGTGAAACCTGGCGTACGCAAAGTTTTTGTGGTACACAGCGTTGATACATGAGGCCCCAGAAGTCTTGACACAATTAGGTTACAATGCTCACTTTCAATCTTACGTAAAAAATAAAGCTATTTTTTTTGTCATGTACTTAAGATATACTTATGTTTTAAATTAGCAGAGTTTAGAAAGATATCCATTTAGCAATTTATTGCTGAGCTATCAAATTAAACAATGTTGTTTTGGTGCATTTAACATTCAGCAGACCAACATTAATGATATTATTATTTATTAACATTAATATTATTATTATAAGGGTGGCAAGGTGGCTCAGTGGTTAGCACTGTCGCCTCATAGCAAGAAGAGTCCCGGTTGGATCAGTTGGCTTTTCTGTGTGGAGTTTGCACGTTCTCCCCATGTTGGTGTGGGTTTCCCCCACAGTACAAGCTATACGCTACACATACAACACATACGCTATGGGTAAATTTGATAAACTTAATTGGCCGTAGTGTATGAGTGTGTGTGAATGTGAGTGTATGGGTGTTTCCCAGTACTAGGTTGCAGCTAGATAGGCATTCGCTGCGTAAAACATATGCCATAATAGTTGGTGGTTCATTCCGCTCTGGCGACCTCTGATCAATCAGACTGAGCCAAAAGATAATGAATGAATGAATTATTATTATAACTAAATGTAATTATTTTAATGCAACAGACATACAATTCAAAGCTTTCACAAAGTAAATGAATAAACCGTCCATTTGTAATATCACCCAATTTCCCCTTTTGCTATCACCCCAAACATTTTTACATTATATTTATTTTTATATTATATTATATTATATTATATTATATTATATTATATTGTATTATATTATATTATATTATATTATATTATATTATATTATATTCATTATACTTATTATTAATTTATTTATTTTTTTAATTATTTTATTTTAAAATCCAACTGTGTGTTCATCCTAATAAATTATTATTTATTTTCAATAATCATATTTTCATATTTAATCAAAGCTTTATTAAATTATTTATGCACATTACATTTTTATTAATTATTTAAAATAAATCTTAATTAAATACAAGTATATTTAAATGTTTTTTTTTTTTAACATAGCCTCTAATACCTTAATCACCAAATGCATACGGGTGTATCTCTTGTGAAAAATCTTTACATCTCAACAACTCATTCAATTCAACCACTCATAGATTGTTTAAAATACACACAACTTTAGTCGGTTAATAGGTTGACAGCAATGCATTGTTTAAAAGCATTTAGGCAGACAGTGAACAGGCCTTCAGGCTTTAGAAGAGCTGATTTGTGTTCTCTCATAAAGCTTTTATTGTAGTGAGAGCAGAAAGGTATTGTATTGCGGGCTTTTCTCACCCATTGTGGGTGTGTACAGGTACTTGCTGATCCATCCAGGCGTTTCTGTGGAGGGGAAGCTGTGGACAAACTGGTGGGCGGGACTTGTTTCATTTTTGGCCACGTCCTCTAAGTGAAAGGCCTCGTCCAATAGAATCTGCCATTGAACTTTTGTGCGGTTGTGCCTCTGAACAGCATAGATTACCTGACAGGATAAAGAACAATACAGATGTCTCAGACATGGGATTGGGAAATATAACAGTTCATTTTTTCCTGAATATTTTCTTTTGTGTTATTGTAAAATTGTTTATTCATAAGGAGGGAACATTGTATGACACTCACATGCAATTTAAGCTGATTTAGTTTTTGTTTAATTTATTGTTGGTTCACTATGTTTATGTTCAAAAGAATCCTATGTAGAATTTTTTTTTTACTTATAAATGATTTATAAGTTGGCATCCCAAAGCAGTCAGTCAGTTTCATAAAAATTGGCACCCCAGATGGGACTTATTTAATTGAATTGAGCTTTAACAATCATATAATAGTTTATATAAGCAATTAAGCATCTGAATTTTGCTTTGTGGGGTTTTCTGAAACCACCATATGGCATTTTCTATTCTTATTTTATTATTTCAGGCAAAATGGTTTTGTAGATCTGCCCATGCATGAAATGGCTAGTGTTATCAACTCAGCGTAGAATGGCTCAAGAAACTAATAATACCAAAATAAATAAACAACAACTGAAAACTGAGCTCATGAGTTCCATAACAACCTTGCATGAAGATGTAAAACAAGAAAATGAAATTAAATCAAGAACAAATCAAGAGCGTATAGCAACATAATAAAAAAAAAAGTCTATCTCTTCATATCATGCCCTGTCGTTTATGTTGTGGTGTCGCAAAATACATTGTTTACAATAATTATGTTTGGTATTTACAATTTAGACAACCACATTCTTGTTTTACATGTGTACATTTTGTATTTTCATTCATTCATTTTCTTGTCAGCTTAGTCCGTTTATTAATCCGGGGTCGCCACAGCGGAATGAACCGCCAACTTATCCAGCAAGTTTTTACGCAGCAGATGCCATTCCAGCCGCAACCCATCTCTGGGAAACATCCAAACACACATTCACACACACACTCATACACTACGGACAATTTTAGCCTACCCAATTCACCTGTACCGCATGTCTTTGGACTGTGGGGAAAACCGGAGCATCCAGAGGAAACCCACGCAAAGGCAGGAAGAACATGCAAACTCCACACAGAAACGCCAATTAAGCCGAGGTTCATTTTGTATTTTATTTAGCTATATTTTATGTTGAGTCTGTAATCTTTAGTTTTTCACAAGAGTTTTTTTATTTCATTATATTTATCTGATATTTCTACATAATTAAATATTTGCCCTGAAGTTCTAAATACAGTAAGAAAAAATAATCAATCATTTTTGAATGTGTGTTTTTGAGTATTTACTTTTTTAAAAATACTTATAAAAAGTATTTCATCCAAACGGCATCACTGTACAGTATCAACAATATTATATCCAAGCTAAAAATGAAAAGTTACTATATCATGATATATACTGTTAAATTATTATAAAAACATCATCAGATAAAATAAATTATCAGATATTAACATGAACTAATTTATGCTGTACAAATTATATTTATATAACATTTATTGAAAATGAGACTAAAAATAAATATGGGTTGTACAAATTATGTTAGATTTCTACATTTAGCGTTATCAGCAACAGTAGTAACAGTGAATTTTTTACAGCACTGAATATTTTAGTTCATTGTTATTCAGCTGATTATTTTCTTAATTTTCTACAGTTCTGTTTGTTAAAACCAAGTGCTTGCAATACTGTTTCTGTAATTAATGGAAAGCAAATTATATTTGTCTCCTCCCCTTTTTGGCTGATCTGAAAAATGGTCCGATCCGTTACTTAAAAAAACATAATGTGATCAGAATGGTGAGATTTTTGATCCGTTACACCTCTATTAAATAATACTATTTATAAATAGTAAACGGCTAAGCCAATAAATTTGCTTTATATTCATATTCCATGCAGTTGCTGCAGTTGTATTACCTGCTTATGTAGTTTGACCAAACTCTTTTTACTAGGATAAGGGTTTCCTTTGTCATCAAAGTCCTCGTAATCGTCCATGTTTCTGCCCAACTTTTCCTGGTATTCTACAGGACACTGAGAAAGACATGAGGGTGTTGATTTTCCATATACGTATTTCCACATGCAGAGTCAGTAAAATACAGATGTAGATCGAGATCACATGAAACTTACCTTCCTTAGAATAGTGTCGATGCATTTCCTTAGAGGATGATTATATTTTATTGTTTCATTAACGGTTTTGACATCCTGTACACATAGAAAGGGACACATAAGTATGCTTTTATTATGTTTTGATTGGGGAAAGCATGGGCATTAATTAACATTTACATTTTACATTACATTTAGTCATTTAGCAGACGCTTTTATCCAAAGCGACTTACAAATGAGGACAAGGAAGCAATTTACACAACTAAGAGCAACAATGAATAAGTACTAAAGGCAAGTTTCAGGTCTGTAAAGTCTAAGAAGGGAAGTGTTAGTAGTTTTTTTTTTTTTTTTTGTACAGTTAGTGTGATATTCAAAGAGGCAATTGCAGATTAGGAAGTGAAGTGGAGACTAAATAGTTGAGTTTTTAGTCGTTTCTTGAAAATAGCGAGTGACTCTGCTGTTCTGATGCAGTTAGGGAGTTAATTCCACCAACTGGGCAGATTGAGCGTGAGCGTTCGCGAAAGTGATTTTTTCCCTCTTTGGGATGGAACCACGAGGCGACGTTCATTCACAGAACGCAAGTTTCTGGAGGGCACATAGATCTGCAGAAGTGAGTGCAGATAAGAAGGTGCTAGGCCAGAAGTCACTTTGTAGGCAAACATCAGAGTTTTGAATTTGATGCGAGCAGCAACTGGCAGCCAGTGCAAACGGACTAGCAGCGGAGTGACATGTGCTCGTTTAGGTTCATTGAAGACAACTCGTGCTGCTGCATTCTGGAGCAGTTGAAGAGGCTTGATAGAGTTAGCTGGAAGCCCAGCTAGTAGAGAGTTGCAGTAATCCAGTTTGGAGAGAACAAGAGCTTAAACAAGGAGTTGAGCTGCATGTTCAGATTTAACACAATTACTGTTACCAGCAATTTGGAATTCACACTTGAAAATTATTGGTGATACATATTATTCATAGTTTTTCCAAATAAGTTTAGGCGTAGAAATCTTTGTTTTGTTTGGAAAATATACTAAAAATTATCCTGAATACTGGACTGGTGACATTTGAAGGTTTAAAGAAGTGACATTAATTTACATGATATGGATAGTATTATCATTGATATACAGTCAAGGCCAAAATTGTTCATACCCCTGGCAAATTCTGACTTTAAGTTCTATATTCTTAAGTTTTGTTAAAATGTAAATAAAAGGTGAGGTTTTTTGTTTTGTTTTGTTTTTTACACTGGACCAGCTCTATACCCTCACCAGGGTGCTCGAGGGTTCATGGGAGTATGCCCAACCAGTCCACATGTGTTTTGTGGACTTGGAGAAGGGATTTGACCCTTTTGGCATTGTTTTGGTATTGTTGGGGTATTGTTCATAAGTGAGAGAAAGATGGAACGTGAGAATGACAGGCAGATTGGTGCAACAGCAGCAGTAATGTGGTCGAAGTACCGGCCCGTTGTGTTAAAGAAGGAGCTGAGCTGAAAGGCAAAGCTCTCGATTTACAGGTCAATCTACATTCCTACTGTCATGTTCATGAGCTTTAGGTCATGACCAAAAGGACAAGATCTCTGATACAAGCGACCGAAATGAGTTTCCTTCACAGGGTGGCATGATGCACCCTTATAGATAGGATGAGGAGCTCTGTCACCTGGAAGGGTGACCTGGGGATGCCTCGGGATCCCCCCGGAGGAGCTGGCGGAAGTGTCTGAGGAGAGGGAAGTCTGGGGTTCTCTCTTAAGATTGCTGCACCCACGACCCGGCCCCGGAAAAGCGGATGAAAATGAATGAATGAATGAATGATTTCTTTTATCTTTGCCATGATCACAGTACATAATATTTAATAATTAATAAATATAATTAATAATTTTCAGGAAAGGTCTGTATGTGTGAGCAGGCCCTTTATTTAAAAATACTGGTAAATTCATTCCAGCTATTTTTCGGAAAGAGAAGATTACCGGTAATTTGCCGGAATGCTGCGCTGTGTGAACGCAGAAGGAAGATTGCCGGAAAGAGCGCATGCACGTCTAGAAGATGCTGACGTGAGACGTCTGCTAATGCCAAGTTCAGACTTCATGATTATCAAAGTAGTCGTGTCACAGATGTTTTCACACTGAATGACTATCTGGGCTAGCGTTTCATCGCTGCTTTGTTTACACTGCAAGATGGATCGGCGACAGGGACTTTCACATTGCATGACTTTACCATACTAAGAATCGCCGACAACTTCGTCCAAACTACGTCTCACAGCCAAAAACACGTAGTATATCTGTTGTTATTATCTACATAATGAGAAAGAAGCCTTTAATGGGGTAGAACATGTACATACTGTATTTGCTCACCTGAGTTTAAAAGGAATTAGCCATTTCTCCTCAACTTAAGTTGATGATAAACTAATTTCTTTCTGTATGAAACGTCAAACAGACACGGTTGCTCCTGAGTCCTGTCAAACCTCCACTAGTTTTTCCTCCATTTCATGGGTCCAAATAAACCGAATAAGAGCGCTTTTAACTTCTCACTCAGCCTCCCGCTGGCCTGCAGCAGGTATACACACACGCAAACACACAAGTGAAAGCTGCTCTCTCATTGGCTGTAGGCGATCGCTGATGTTATTTTCAGTCCAAACTCAATTCACACGGCATGATTTGAATTGCCGACAGCTCCAGATATTTAGCATGCCAAATATCTCGCAGGCATTGGCGACTCATCGACGATTCTCTCAGATCGTGTCTTTGACAGTTCATACAGTGTGATTGTCACTCACGTGCACGAGCACCGATTTGCCTGTGATTTCAGGCATTTGTCGGCGATTTCTCAAAACCTGTCAGCGAGCCAAAATCGGGGCTAAAATCACGCAGTCTGAACTAGGCATTAGCCAATCAGAACAATCAGACGCTTTCACGTCCATGCGGTTTATGAGAAGAAAAGCCTTTGAATATTTTCCCAGACACATTTAACTGCTACAAATTAGTCAGATAACGTTTCTATGTTCCTTCTTAATGCCAACTGTGTAACTAATTATTGATAAGATGCTTATGATAAGCCATTGTCTGTTTACCTTCAAGCTCTGCTTCCTTCAGTTGCTTGATGTGTCGCGTGTGCCCGTGAAGGAGCCGGTGAGCGCCAACACACACACATATCATGTACATCTCGACATGCGAAAGTGTTCCTCCATATGTTTACATCGAAGTTGTTCACAATACTGATCCATCCACAGAGTTTGTGATGTAGTTCAATGTTTACAAATGCAAGCGCAGCCGTTTAGAGCTCATGTCTGGTTAATAATGTCAGAATTTATCGGTATTTTGGAACAGATGTGTGAATAGTAGGGGTGTAACGATACACTCAGCTCACGATACAATGTGTATCATGATATAATGTTCACGATTCGATATGTATCACGATATTTGGAATAAAAATTGAAAATTAAACTGAAATGCAAATTTTATTCAAAAAAAAATTTAATTACCAAGTAAACTATTTTTTAAATGTATTTCTTTTGTTTCAACTTGTTAAACTGAACCTTCTTTAAGAAAATAAATTAAACAGGACTGTCTCTGGAAAATAAAACAATTTAAAAACTTCTTATAAAATATTATTGAAATGATTCAATTCAATTGAATTTAACAGCAAGAGCTTAAGGCTTTGCTTGGTCACTTGCTTTTTTTGTGTGTGCAATCCACATTTCCAGGTAATCAGCAGTTCTATAAAATAATCCTGAACTGATGTGTATCTGTCTGAGAGATTTTTATGGATGGCTGTCTTCATGTTGGGCATGATGAGTGACAGTGTGGCCGTCTTTTCATTACACAGGACAGTTGTGGCTCTTTTCAGCAGTTTAGGCAGGTTTACTATTTATTTGGCATTGCTGATGTCGGCGCTATCAAGTGTATCATGTTGACGTGCATTTTTGTGTACCTCTGTACTCAAAAGAGTTCATGCTCGTCGTATTTATAACTCTAAAATGCGATATGATTATTTAAATAATGTGTACGACTTCGGTTTCATTTCCACTGCTAAGTGCTGTTCATACTTTCCACGCGGCTCCTGAACGATCAATCTGTTCCACAAACTGAATGTTGTTTACTACTTTATTACCTGTTAGTCACAACCTGCAGGTTCTGTTCACTGAAGTAGACACGCGCGCGCGTCTATCGTAGTCCGCCCTCTGTAGTAACAGCTCACGGTCAGCTCACGCCATGTGTGATTTTGCGGCCGCCAATACATCATTATATGAAGACAGAATGATATTTTAGGGTGAATTGTACCTTATAAATACAGTATGTGACTCATTCAACACCATTAGGAAGTATCCATGTCGCTGTGCAAAGTATGTAAATCACTGTGAAGACTTTAAAACTTCGGCTATGTTTGACCCAGTATGCGTGTCAAAAAGCGGACGAGTCTAAAGCAATGACTGTACAACCGAAATGTTGCCAGACGTCTGATTTTGAGAGGATGGGCCTTCCTATTTCAACTCCACTCATCTTGGTCTGCTAACATTACTGCTGCTGCAATCTGAACTCACGTGCGACAGCAGGTGGAACGTAGCTCACGTGCAAACAGCTCAACTGATAAGAGAAAACGGACGTCATATCGTAATAAAATCGTCATAACACCACGATGCATATCGAGACATTTTTGCATCGTAATAAATCGTACAACGATAAATCATTACACCCCTAGTGAATACCCTTTTCTGGAAAAATTATGTAACGTCCTTGCCTGATCAGCGCTTTTTTGAACTCACTGGTAAAGTCGTTCCGGAAATTTTCCGGATATTTACCGGTACCACTGTGTGAAAGGGGCTATTGTATAACAATGGTTTATTCTGTAGACAATCAGAAATAATATTGCTTACGGGGGTTAATAATATTGACCTTAAAATGTTTTTTTTTTAATTAAGAACTGCTTTAATTCTAGCTGAAATAAAACAAATCAGACTTTCTCCAGAAGAAAAAAATATATTAGGAAATACTGTGAAAAATTCCTTGCTCTGTTAAACATCATTTGGGAAATATTTGAAAACAGATAACAAAAATTCACTGGAGGGCAAATAATTTTGACTTCAACTGTATATGTGAAAAAAAGAAAATCACCTCCATGACATCTTCCAAGTTTTCCTCAGCATCTGCTTTTTCGGTCATCAGTTTTGCTGCTTTAAAGTATGTCTTTGCAAGCAGATGCCCGTGGCACGATGCCCTCCAGCAGGAGCGTGGGATTTCAACAAGGCCGTATCCCAACAACAGCACCAGCAGGAACAAACCCCAGGTGTTAGCGGCAGTGATGCCAATTGTACGCAAGCCATACCTTTAAAAAAAAAAACATGTTTAAGTTAAAGAAATGTTAGATGTGCATAAACAGGAGTGTTGTGATTGCTTGTAGGAAAAGGAAGAAGGCGGGACTCAGACCAGGTGAGATGCCACTGTGGACTGACGGCGACGTAGATGAGCAGAGAGCAGAAGATAAGCAGGTATGTGCCATAATAAATGGCGTTTTCTATCAGGGCTGTCTTTATCTTTCCTGAGATGGAGAAACCTCCTGAACGTGCGTACGACTGCATGAAGGGAATCAGAAGCCTGCACACATACAAACAAGACGTTCAAAAACTTTAAAACCATTTTTCTTTTTACACATACACTTAATACACTTCATTGAACATGCACACATAGACATCACCTATATACTATATAACTGCAGGTTAACTATGCTTATATATAATAACTTTAACTTAGTAACTAGTTAATTAGTTCAGGTTATGGTATATGGTAACTAATAACCTTGACTTTTCCAGATTTGATTGTAATGCAGTAATGTGCATCTTTTGTAAAGCTGCTTTGGAACAACAATTATTTTGAAAAGCACTAAACAAATAAACTTGAATTGAATTGAACTTTACTTCGATAAGAGAAACGTTTGTGCAACCAAAAGTGTAAAAATGTGCAGTAAAATAGAAATTATTTATTGTTATTGACAGAAATGTTCTCTGGAGTGCAACCAAATATATTTCTGGAAGGTGTTTTATTCCCATTTATTTACTCAAAAGAAATATAATCTAAAAAAAAATTTGAAATTGAAAATTGAAAGCGACAAAATTAGTGACAATAATAATAATTTTAAAGAACTTGGAAATATTCAATAGTATTATTTTATACAGTCATGTCATTCCAGAAGCGAGTGCTGCCCAAAAAACCCCCACTATGATCCAATATTGAATTATTTAGGTAATTATTAAATTAAAAAGCATATAAATCATTAATTAATTAAAGAATTAATTAATTTTAGAAAGTAAAACTGCACACAGTTTCCTATGAGGGCTGGGTTTAGCTGTAGGGTTGTGGTAGACTGATAGAAAATACAGTGTGTACACTATTGACCTTATTCTTGACGTACAATCAAGTGCCGCCATTGGAATCTTTTTGGCTCGTTACTCCTGATCTTATTTACTTCTGTTGATTTCTAGACATTAAAAACAGCATGTTCTGCTGCTTGATGTTGAAAACTGATATTTTCTTATTGTGTTATTGCACTTTTTATGTATAGTCATAAACACACTTGCTTGTAGAACAAGTAGTTTGACTGTTTTTATTATTATTACTAGTCATTTCTCCCATAGGCGACTGAAGCGGAAGCTAAAGCAAGTGCAAAAAGCGAGCACACTTCCACATCGCAGATTAAAGTGAATAAAATAATGTACTGTGAATGATTTGCAGGGAATTTAAAGAAATTTAGTTTTTTTAGGCATTAATAAAAGCAACTTCTGTAACAACTTAATTTCTTTAACTAGTAAAACTATTTAATTGTGGTTTCAGTGTGGATACAGAATGCCTATAATGTACCATCATTCAACAACAGCAACAGAGTTCATGGTAAGTCTGTCTTGTTTAATTAATAATTAATAAACATTTCCGTTTATTTACAGAACCCTAAGATTGATTTTTTTTTGTGTGTGTGTGGAAAAAAAACTGAGGAAATCATTATTTTGCTCTAACACCTTGTCAAAAACGGTGACGTGATGGCTATGGGTAAAAATGCTAACAGTTTGCAATAGATTTATTTGAAAATATTTCAGTATGTACATAAATTATATGCATTAACACAAAATTGCTTCATTTGCAATGCTTTAAGGGACGGGTTTTTGGGGGGCATTCTTAACAGCAGCTTCTACAGTAAACTATTTCATAACAATTCATTTTTAAACAATTTATTTTTTAAAAGGAACAAAATATTGAATTGTGGCTTTAGTATATTTATATAATGAGTATCCATCATTCAACAATATCAGGGTTCACAGTAAGTCTGCCTTGATTTTATGTTATTTTTTTCATTTGTAAAAAGCAAAGGAATAACATAATTTTGTGAAATTTTTTTTTAAAATAAATCAAATAATTTTTTTTGTGATGTAATAATTTAAATGTACAGTGCTTATTATAAATGACCACACCCTTTTTGAATATGAATATTTTTATCAATTTCTCTGTGAATATCGCCAATAATTTGTGGTGCATTTAAACAAAAATGTTTTATTAAACAGTTATATCCACTAAAAGAAGAGTTTGGTCACTTGACATCGTTAGGAATAGAAAGACAATAATTTACGTTTTTTTTTTATCACTTAATTTAATATTTATGTTTCTCTTGATTTTTTTTCCCCTGTTTATTAAAATTTGATTTAATATTTTGGTCCCACTTTATATTAAGTGTCCCTAACTACTATGTACTTACATCAAAAAAATAAATACAATGTACTTACTGTGTTTATAATGTATTTGAGAACACTTGTGGTGCTTATGAGTTGGGATAGAGGTTGGGTTATCGACAGATTTGGTGGCATGGGTAGGTTTAAGGGTGGGTTAAGGTGTAAGGGATGGTCAATAGTGTATTTACAAATGTAATTACAAAAGTTAATTACAGATGTAATTACATACATGTATTTAATCAAGCATAAGTACACAGTAAATACATGTATTTGCACAATAAGTACATTGTAACAAACTATTAGTTCCTATGTAAGTACATATTAGTTAAGGCCACTTAATATAAAGTGGGACCCATATTTTTTCTCCATCATTTTAATTTGTGTGTAACCATTTTTGGACTGTGACTTAAAGTTTTTTGTTGTTGTTAGATTAGTTCCAGTTTTGGCGATTGGTCCCGATTAATCTTACATATACGCTCAACTATATTTTTGTAAAGCATCCTATAACAAAATGTCGTTTAAAGAAGAGATCTGTGAGGGGTGTACTCATTTATGCTTTGTATATATGTTAAGTTGAATACTCTTTCAGTGCTTTAAAAAAATAAGTAATTTCAGAAGTGGAAAAAAATTTAATGAAATGGAGTAATAAGGTCATTTTTCTCTCGTACCATGTCAGGAACTGTGAAGTCCAGTACACCACCCTCCAAAATACAGGCAGGATTCCATCTGGGATATAACTCCAGGGCTTATAGCAAGTCTTTGGGATCCTTTAATCAGGAGAAGGTGAGGTGACATTGATGAAGTTAATGTACAACAATATTAACTGAACATAAAAAGTCTTCGCACTATTTGCACATCAGTGTTTAAACAAATCCCACAGCTTTACTTCATCCTAGTGCTATTCAATAGAGCAAAGCAAACCTCTTTACCTTTGTGTTGGAAGTACCGAAGTGTTGGAGGAGTTATCATTACTGTTGCTGGGCACGAGGTGGACCTGATTATCAATCTTACACTGGTTATATATGGTCTGCAGATGCAAAAAGAAACAAAGCATTAGCAGGGGTGAGGGTAAAAGACAACAGACTGGTATTTCATCTTTTTGTTTAAAGAGCACCTCAGGAAATGTTCTGAATTGCACGCTTGCCATCTGTTGATCGTGACAGTCACGTATACACTAATTATACACAACTGAAAAAGGCTGTAGATGAGAGCTCGTGTCGCATGTCTTAATTATAAATGCAAACATCATCCTCTGAGTTTATTCTGTCTTAAGTTGCACAGGCGTTTAATGCAGGTTCATTTGGGACCAAGAAAATTCGAGGAGTAAATAGAATGAAATGCCAGTATGTACAAGTCAGAATTATTCAGATTTTTTTTTTTCTTTTTCAAATATTTTCTAAACGATGTTTAACAGAGCAAGGAATTTTTCAAAGTATTTCCTATTATATTTTTTTGTTGTGGAGAATGTCTTATTGTTTATTCAGGCTAGAATAAAAGCAGTTTTGAATTTTTTTAAACTATTTTAAGGTCAATATTACTACCACCTTAAGCAAATTTTTTTTTTGACAGAACACACCATCATTATACAATGACTTGCCTTATAAGCCTAGTTAAGGCTTTAAATTTCATGTCAATCTAAATACAAGTATCTTGACAAATATCTAATAAAATATTATGTCAATCACGGCAAGAAATCATTCATTCATTTTCTTGTCAGCTTAGTCCCTTTATTAATCCAAGGTCGCCACAGCGGAATGAACTGCCAACTTATCCAGAAAAACTTACTGGATAAGTTGGCGGTTCATTCCACTGTGGCGACCCCGGATTAATAAAGGGACTAAGCCGACAAGAAAATGAAAGAATGAATGAATAGTATTTCTTTAAGGTTTGAAATTACAACTTTCAACCAATGTCTTTTTTAGTTAATTTATTACATAAAACATGTTTATAGCCTAAATAAACTCTGCTCTCAGGAATTAACATATGGAAATAGTTTTAACCTCTGACCACACTGCACAATTGTGTTGATCTTCAGTAATTCTGTGTTGTTTTTTAGTGCTAACTATTAAAGATCCTTAATAGGTGATTTATTTAAGAGGCAAAAGGTCTTGTTTTATAAATAAAAAGGTCAAAACAACAGTTTCTGATTAAAACAGGTTTTTATACATGATTCACAAATACTGTTCTTACTTTAAGCATACGCTTTTTCTTTCAGTTTCCCAGAAATCAAAGCGTGGGATTTAATGTCTACATATTTGTATTATTAACAATACAGAAATAATGGTTTTTATTGACGTTTATTTCCATAAAACATGAATAGTTTTTAACTTTCTCTGATTTAGAGTCATTTCAAGACCTTAATTAAGTGGTCTTAAACTCAATTCTAGGAGGGCCACAACTCTGCATAGTTTAGCCTCAACCATCTTCGACTCAAACCTGATTAATAGTCCCTAGTAGTCTTGAACACCTTGATTAGTTGGTTCAGCTGTGTTTGATTAGGGTTGTAGTAGAGTTGCGACCCTCCAGGAATCGAGTTTGAGACCTATGTTTAAATATGAGAAAGTAAGTCACTTTTAGGACTCGTAGAAATCCATAACTTTTGTGCGAAACTTTCAGTGATTGCATAATCATTTTCAATATCATTACATTTGAATTTGAATTTTCTTAAACTTTTCATGAATGTTTTTAACTAACATTTAAATCCATATTTAAAGATAAAGTTCACCTAAAACTAAAAATGTCCTCATCATTTACTTACACTCAAGTGAATCCACAATACAAGATACTTGGAAGAATGTTGGAAAAAAACAATATTTTTTTTCCCAACATTCTTCTAAGTATCTACCTTTGTGGTCAATTCGATTCTTGTTCGATTCGAACAAGTGGATGATGAGTAAATGATGACAGAGTTTAAATTTTTAGTTGAAAGATCCCTTTAATGTGTTTCCTCATTAAACGTGTAGATTTTTTACTTCAGTTTGTTTTCAGTCATCCAGCAGGACTCACCGTACTAACGTCCAGCGGTAAAATGAAGACAATGAGAAAGCACAAGAACCAGGCAAGGAGCGTGGCGAACAGGACCATCCGATGCTGCTTGCGGAAATCTCCATATCGATGGAGCAGGAAGAGCGCCAGGAAAAACACCACCACCACCTCCAGCGCCAGAGCCACACCACTCATCCTGACTGCTCTCTCTCTCTGTAACCCGTCAGACTGGACCAGCACACGCCATCAACACAAGCACTGTTTGGGTACAGCAAATTCATCAAGATTCAGGAATATACATCACATATTGACATTCATAACAAGTTCATCTGAACCATGTTAACATGAATGCATATTTTAGTTATTTCATTTTAGTTGTTTGGGATGCGATGACACGCAGTCAAATATTTCGCCAAACAGATCAGGCACTTTTGAAGCTCATAGATTGTCATAAAGTCCTCATGCTGCAGGAATTAGCAGGTTTGCTCAGGTGCAGCTATCATGCAGCGAAGGGTTTGCGTCTTTACTAAACTACGAAAGTTTTTGTTCATTGAACAGTTAGAATGATTAATTAATCCATATAAAACAGTCCCTTAAAAGTCACGTCTTGCCTTCAGTTTTGTGCTCAGGCGCGCTTTGCACTCACACAACAAGCTTACTGCGCCGAAGCCTAAGTGAAAGCCCAAGTATGTTTTCTGAACAGTTAGGTAATGCTGTTATACTGATTGTCAATTTGTTTTTAAACCAAATTCTAAAAAAAGGCTGGGTTGTCCTAATTCAAGGTTGGGTCAAATATGGACAAACCCAACATGGGGTTCATATTTTCAGTTAAATTTAAATTACACTTTTTTTTTTTTTTAACCCAGTGTCCATATTTGACCTAAAGTTGGGTTACAACAACACAGCATTTTATAGAGTGTAGGTTCAAACATTTTTGTTTTGTTTTTTTTAGATTCACAATTTTTATTTTTCAAATTCTTACTTTAGATTTTGTGGTACAACTCAAACTTCAACATAAAACCCTTACCTTTTGGGCTGTTTGTTTGCTTGACACTTTTATATTAATTTGGTTCAGATTAATTATTATAAACTGGTTCAGCAAAACAAGTGTGTTTTTCCATTTTAAATTTTTATTATTAATACTTGCACAATTTGTTTAGTAAAATAATAATTAAAATTATATATTTTAGTTTCATTATTTCATATTTTATCATATTACTCTTTTTGTACTATATTTTGCTAAAAAGTACATTTTTAAACGGTTAAGTAATACTGGATGTTATGATTTATGTTTTCTTTCTGTCTTTTTAGAGAGAATTCTTAAGAAAATTGATTCTTGCCTCATTCTTGATCTGTCGCACACATTACACCTGTCTCACCAAAATGTTACAGCATGCCACTTTAACATCTTAAACACGCAATACTGGACATAAAGGTAAAAGTTTTAAGTAGAAATTCTCGATGGAGTTGTACCACAAAATCCAAAGTAAGATCATGACATTTTAAGAATAAGAATCTAGATTTAAAAAACACTTTTTAACCTACACTCTGAAAAGTTGTAACCTAAATTTGGAATAAAAATGGACAAACCACATTCACTGGATTAAAAAGTGTCATTTAAATTTTATTGGAAAAATTAACCCTATATTATTATTTGTTTACATATGACCCAGCTTTTGGGTCAGCATGTTTTTAGAACGTAATTTAAAAACAAATTGACAATCATCACAGTATTACCCAACTGTTCAGAAAATTTATTTTTTTAGCAAAAATATAATTTATAAAGCATAATACTATTACTAAAATTATACTAAAATACTAAATACTAAAATTAAATTATGAAAATAAAATATTTTATTCAAATAATTAATTTATTATACAAATTGTCATAATAATAATAATAATAATAATAATAATAATAATAATATTTCCTGGTGATGGGTTGCAACTGGAAGGGCATCCGCCGCATGATAACTTACATGTGCTGGAGAGTTGGTGGTTCATTTCGCTATGGCGACCCCAGATTAATAAAGGGACTATGCCGAAAAAGAAAATTAAAAAAATAATAATAATAATAATAATAATAATAATAATAATAATATTAAGAAATGAAAAAAAGACAGTTGTATTGCCTAACCAGTTAATAATTGAACATTAATAAAATATCATAATTCAAATCATCGTTTAAACCATTTAAGCGTTTTGATTATTGTTTACATTCTACAATAAACAGAATAAATAAAGCATCAGAAACAAGTTAAACAAGTTGCTGTCAAACTATTGCCATTACAGTCGCTAATATCGGCTACTTGAAATTATGTGGATAAGCCACATGTTGTAAATAGCGTTGGATATATGTATTTTTGACACGTAGCTATTGCGTAATTAATAGTACAGAGTCAAAGATGTTCTGTCAGAGCAACCGGACGACTTTTCCGCTAACGTTAGTTCACCCTCTAACGTTAACCGTCAATGAAGCATTAGAGAAAGAGCTGGACAGTAACTTACGAGGTAAAGCAGACACTCGGGACGAAATCTTGAAGAAAGTGTTTAGTCAGGTCACATTCTCGTGGTAAAAATTAAGCAGCCCGAGATATTTGTGTACTGTATCTCTTGACGTGTCACGTAACTGTGCAGTGATGCACTTCCGACTTTCGTGATGCATTGTGGTAGTTGTATTTTCTTCTATGTTTTTGCGTAGGTTGGTTTTATTTGTGGTAGGATGAGTTTTTAAACATTTTAAGTAAGGTTGGTTTTAGTAACATGCACATACATGACGATTCGAGGTGTTCTTGTTTGTTTAAATGTTATATTACCGTGTTTTTACGCTGAATTTCAAGTGTTGTCAATGAAACAATTTCGTACTAAGATGAAGACTAAAGGTCGTCGAGTTTGTTTCATATTACTGAATTACTTCAAAAAATTATTTGTGAAGTAAATTTTAGTATTTACAAGAGATTAAAGTGTAATATTAATGTGTTTACAATTCGTATTGTGTTGAAGTAAATATTTTATAAATGTAGCTATTAAAGATCTGCCCATTTATTTATGCTTCACATTACTGTTTACATTAATATGCATTGTTTTAGTTTAAAGATTAAATCCTGTGAAATTTTATAAAGTTATTACATAGAGTTAAATTTTTCTCTAATTTTTAAATATGAATGTTAATTTTAGTAACATCCATTCTTTTATTTATTTTCTGCCACTTTTTTGGGGTCACAGGGGCAGCAGTCTTAGGAGAGAACCCCAGACTTCCCTCTCCCCAGACACTTCCTCCAACTCCTCCAGGGGGGATCCCAAGACCAGACCAGCCGAGAGACATAGTCCCTCCAGCGTGTCCTGGGTCTTTCCCGAGGCCTCCTCACGGTGGGACATGCCTGGAACACCTTCCTAGGTAGGCGTCCAGGAGGCATTCGAAACAAATGCCCAAGCAACCTCAGCTGACTTCTCTCGATGTGGAGGAGCAGTGGCTCTACTCCGAGCTCCTCACGAATGTCAGAGCTCCTCACCCTATCCATACGAGTGCGCCCTGCCACCCTTCGAAGGAAACTCATTTCGGCCGCTTGTATGCGAGATCTTATCCTTTTGGTCATGACCCAAAGCTAGTGACCATAGGTGAGAGGTTTGAAAACAAGTTTACTCACTTTTTTTAAGTAAAGTCAACTAATCCTTTTTTACAATGTGTATTTCCATTTGATTTCTGCCTGTGTTTGTGAATGCAGCATGATGAGCAGGATATAATGAAGATATCAGAAAGAGTCACTCAGATGTCATCTCTGCATTGAAATCCTCGTCCCCAGAGCTCTACATGTTGAGGAAAGCCCATGTGGAGAGCTGATCGGCCCACAGAGAGCCCAGCAGACGCACGCACACCCCTCTGTCCTCCAGCAGACACTGCAGCTGACCCATCAGATCCAGACTCAGGTTCTCCAGCAGACGCACACACAGATCCCAGTCCTCCGCGGGCTGTGTGTCCTCCAGCAGCAGAGACAGCAGAGCGTCCGCAGAGCACAGCCACTCCTGCAGACTCATCTTCAGTTCAGGTCAGTCCGTCCTGCAGGCTCTGAGTTCCTGCAGTTTTCTGAGAGGAGCAGATGGGCGGGAGATAAAGAGTCTGTGTGCTGCTTACTCTCATCTTGTTAAACACTTTAACACCAGACGGCCAAAGCTCACCGCTCACTCTGATGCTATTATGGTGCATTATTAGGTTATTATTAGGGTGCAATATATTTTGGGGGGGGGTTGAAAGTCAGAAAAAGAAGTCTCATACCAAAATAGAAACTATATATATATATATATATATATATATATATATATACACACACACACACACACACACACACACACACACACACACACACACACACACACACACACACACACACACACACACACACACAATCGAAGTCAGAATTATTAGCTTTATTATAAAGGGGCTAATAATTTTAACCTTAAAATTTAAAGGTGCTTTTATTCTTGCTGAAATGAAACGAATAAGACTTTCTGCAGAAGAAAAAATATTATCAGACATACTGTAAAAATTTCCTTGCTCTGTTAAACATCATTTGAGAAATATATATATATATATATATATATATATATATATATATATATATATATATATATATATATATATATATGTTTCCCTTCGGCTTAGTGTTACGATATATATATAATTAAAAAATTAAAAAAGGGGCGAATAATTCTGACTTCAACTGTGTGTGTGTGTATATATATATATATATATATATATATATATATATATATATATATATATATATATATATTTGTTTCCCTTCGGCTTAGTGTTACGATAAGTGTCTAGGGTCAAGGGCGCAACATAATTAAAACACTCGACAAATAAAATAACTTATAAGAACCCTTAGAGTTAGGTCTGTTTATTTGCCTTTTTTGTCATTTTCTCTTTTCAAACACCCAAAACGTGAAGCCTATACCTCGGAGAGGACCAACAAAAAAATTATGAACAAAAAGTACACTCTACCTAAACACACACAATAAAACTGCCTACACCTTACAAAGAAAATAACAGAAGTTAAAACACAATACTACACCTCACTTTCTACCTATATATATTTATACAACAGTTCTGTCTTGTTCTTGAATATGATTGGCTGATAGCCGTGCGATATTTTGCCAGTAACATCACACAAAGGCCTCTTCACCTCTGTGTATTCCTCCGCCCACATACAGCAAGCAACAAGCAGGCTACAGTTTGACAAATATTACTGTTGTTAGACAGCAAAATGTACTTTTGAGGCTTTTTTAGTCGAGAATGTTGTTGTTCAGATTGCAACTATGCAGTTTCTTTGTAAGAATAGTGCCTATTTTAAAATATTTACTATTTCTGAAAGCTCGTCGGCGGCGGTTGATGTTGTCTATCCCCAAGATGGCGCCAGAACTGCATAATAAGCCCTTCCTCAGTGTGTTCTCTTGAGCGCGAATTAAAAAGCTAAAAAACGGAAGTCTCGGGGTTTTAAGGTGGACCGCATAGAGTCAATTAGAAACTGCGAATAAGAAGCTGGATTCAGCCTTGTCTCTCCTTATCGCAAACTCGACAGCAGTCTGGTTAGAAATCTCTGTAGATGGATGGCATTTCATGTCACGCTCAGCCTTATAATCCTAAAATGTGAGCAAAATTTGCTGTTATGTCATCACCTTAAGGGGGTCACACACCAGAAGCGTTGCTTCACATTGCGCTATAGAGAATCATTCAAATACTAGCTCTAAAGTGACGTTGGTGAATTAGTAACGGCTTCTGCTGTTCTGACGTCAGCTGCAGATGTGAATGAATGGCGGAAGAAAGTAGTTCCTAATACAAAAGGGTTTTAGACTCTCCGTGTTTGATTTTCTTTTTTATGTACATGATTGTGCCATCGAACTGTTGTATAAACGCAATATCACACTCGTAGCAGTGTGCTATGGCTGTATATCTGCACTGGTGGGGCGCTAATGCACGCCTCCCACCAGTGCCGATATACAGCCATAATACACTGCTAATTGTGTGATATTGCTCATTTATACTGTATGTATATATATATATATATATATATATATATATATATATATATATATATATATATAAATATACGTTTCAATCAGTTATATATATTTCAACCCCTACTGCTTCAAACCGTATAATAATTTTTACAGTGATAACAAACAAAGCCAGAACAAAAATTACAAGGGAAGGGTGGACACAGGAGGGATAACAACAACAAGAAACCAAATTTATACACTCAACACAGAAATACACAAACCACAACAAGCATCACTCTTATAGTTTTTAACGACACTTGCAAACAACATGCCATGCAACTCCCTCTCCGCTTTCCACGATTGTTCCTGTTTTTAAAAGAGGCCCCACGTCACTCCAGCCAATCCCTAGTGACGTCGATGCCGTAAATAGGGTAGGACCTGCGACGAGGGAAAGAGCGGGAAAGAAAGAGAGAGAGGTAGAAAGAGAGAGAGAGAGAGAGAGAGAAAGAGAGAGCACATGGGGCAACAGAGACACACACAGACTTGCGAATGCAACATTAGTCCCTTATCAGGGGTCGCCACAGCTGAATGAAAAGTCAACTCTTCCAGGATATGCTTTATGCATCAGATGCCCTTCCAGCAGGAGGGTTGCTAGTTCGAGCCTCGGCTGGGTCAGTTGCCTTTCTGTGTGGAGTTTGCATGTTCTCCCCGTGTTGGCGTGGGTTTCCTCATGGTGCTCCGGTTTCCCCCACAGTCCAAACACATGCGCTATAGGGGAATTGGGTAAGCTAAATTGTCTGTAGTGTATGAGTGTGAATAAGTGTGTATGAGTGTGAATAAGTGTGTATGGATGTTTCCCAGTGATAGGTTGCAGCTGGAAGGGCATCCACTGCGTAAAACATTTGCTGGATAAGTTGGTGGTTCATTCTACTGTGATGACCACTTATAAATAAAATAAATAAAATTATTGAATATAAATTGTCAGTAGTGTATGTGAGTATGTCGAGGTCCTCCAGGTTGGGTGATGAGCATTGGGCCAATGACCCACCTCGTGAAAAAGAGGTGTTACAAAACACCAACATGGTGCGGCTAAATATCCACTTTGATAAACATGACCCTGGGAGTATGGATATACTGTTAAAGTCAGAATTATTAGCCCCCCTTTAATGTTTTTTCTTTTTAAATGTTTCCCAAATAATGTTTAACAGGGCAATGAAATTTTCACAGTATGTCTGATAATATTTTTCCTTCTAGAGAAAATGTGTTTTATTTTGGTTAGAATAAAAGCAGTTTTTAATTTTTGAACTCCATTTTAAGGTCAATATTATTAGCCCCTTTACGCTAATTCTTTTTTCGATAGTCTACAGAAGAAACCATCGTTATACAATAACTTGCCTAATTACCCTAACCTGCCTATAACCTAGTTAAGCCTTTAAATGTCACTTTAAGCTGTATAGAAGTGTCTTGAAAAATATCTAGTCAAATATTATTTACTGTCATCATGACAAAGATAAAATAACTCAGTTATTAGAGATGAATTATTAAAACTATTATGATTAGAAATGTGTTGAAAAAAATCCGTTCTCTGATAAACAGATATATGGGATAAAAATAAACCGGGGGACGAATAATTCTGACTTCAACTGTATATATACTTTTTCCTGCTTGTTTAAAGATAAAGTTTAAAGATAAAGTTTTACTTTTGCATTCTGGATGCTTTTTAATTTGAAGAATTAAAAAAATGCAATATGGTTATTCGATATCAGATTTTTCCTTTTAGCTATTTTAATTTACATTTTTAATTCATTATTTCAACTTTTTTTAAAGATACAGTTGAAGTCAGAATTATTAGCCCCCTTTTGATTTTTTTTTCTCTTTTAAATATTTCCAAAATGATATTTAACAGAGCAAGGACATTTTCACAGTATGTCTGATAATATTTTTTCTTCTAGAGAAAGTCTTATTTGTTTTATTTCGGCTACAATAAAGGCAGTTATTATTTTTTTTAAAAACATTTTTGGGACAAAATTATTAGCCGCCTTTAAGCTATTTTTTTTTTCGATAGTCAACAGAACAAACCATTGTTATACAATAACTTGACTAATTACCCTAACCTGCCTAGTTCACCTTATTAACCTGGTTAAGCCTTTAAATGTCACTTTAAGCTGTATAGAAGTGTCTTGAAAAATATCTAGTCAAATATTATTTACTGTCATCATGACAAAGATAAAATAAATCAGTTATTAGAAATGAGTTATTAAAACTATTATGTTTAGAAATCTGTTGAAACAATCTTCCCCCTGTTAAACAGAAATTGGGGAGTAAAATAAACAGGGGCTCTAATAAATCAGGGGGGCTAATAATTCTGACTTCAACTGTGTATATATATATATATATATATATATATATATATATATATATATATATATATATATATATATATATATATATATATATATATATATATATATATATATAAATATATATATATATATACATGTAACATAATGAAAGGGTAGTAAATTTGTCCAGCGTATTGTTGAGTTAAAAAAAAAATTGAAACAAATTAAGCCTCAAAATCACCCCAGAGTGAATGAAAACATCCACAAAAGCACACAAGAGTTTGGTTTATTGAATAGAAAACAATTAAGTTGTTGCAAGAAGCTCAAGTATTGTTGCAAGTGTTTAATTCATTCTGGCTGGCCTGTGAATGCCTCGGGATCTCCCCAAAGGTGCTGGAGGAAGTGTCAGGGGAGAGGGAAGTCTGGGGTTCTCTCCTGAGACTGCTGCCCCCACGACGTGGCCCTAGAAAAGCAAAAGAAAATGAATGAATTAATCAATATTTACCCAGCAATTCCTTTATTTCAGGACAGTTTTGTCCAGGTCAGATTACCCTGAAGGCTTATTTTAATGCATTGTGAATATTTGGATATTATGGATTTATAATCGCTATTGAGGGGGTGTCACAGTGGCGCAGTTGGTAGCACAATCGCCTCTCAGCAAGAAGGTCGCTGGTTAGAACCTCGGTTGAGTCAGTTGGTATTTTCTTTGTCGAGTTTGCATGTTCTCTC